CGTGAACCCAACGATCCGACGATAGAGTTTATATTATTCGCAATTGGAGAAAATGAATATCGAACTCCTGCACCGGTTAACTTCCATTTGTTTTTCATATTTCAATTCTATTTCAACAAGAGACATTTATTTTTACCGCAAATGTCAATTCGTCTCAATTCATTTAACTTCAAAGGCTAATTTGTCTTTTATTTCAAATGAAAAGTAAAATTGCTCTGACAGGTATATTCAAGTTACAATTATGTATTGTCATTTCAGTCCCTTTCAGTTACATTTCTATTATTATTTACTTATTACTCTTGTTAATCCAATTGCAAAAAATTGATTTATTCGAAATAACTGATTACTTGTCCATCAAATAAATATTTGTTTATTTCATTTGAAAGCTCTCTCTTTCCCTTTATAACAACTATTTTCAATTTAATCGACCCTCGTGCGTCCAAATTATAGTTGAAATAATTAATCATTTTATCACTAACTCATTAAGAATAGAATTTAAAATTACTTTTATAATATTCTCAAAATTTTAGTTAAAAATAACTGACTATATAAGTAAATAAATAACTGCGAAAATAGTTATTTTTTGACTAAATCAATTATAGACTCTAAAAATTTTAGTTGTCTTGACATTTATTTATTTATTTTGAATTCAACTAATAATTATAGTCATTACTGAATATTTGAGGAAAAAGGCGCCATATCTAACGAAAAATAAATTTTAAAGTGAATTAATAAAATTCATGAGCAAAAATTCAATGAGACGTGGCAACATCGCATTTTTTCGAATTGAACGTCATTTCGTGCCAAATTTAAATATTACTGAATAAAAGCTTTACCTATATTGATTTTTATATAATTTTTCACGAAATCGAAAGATAATTATTTCCAAAATCATTAAGTTTTGATGTTATATTACAAATACAGTAAAGAAATTAAAAATTCAAATAATAAATAATAAAAGCATTAACACTACACTGAAAAAAAATTTATTTGATTCCAATGTCCGATTAATTGACTATTATCAATTAAATATTTACTTGAATCAAATAATATTTATTGGAGTCAATTAAATGGTATTTAATTCAAGTAAATATTTAATTCACAATAGTCAAGTAATCGGTTATTTGTATCAAATAAATTTTTTCCAGTGTATTCTTTTTGACATTTATTATTTTTATGAAAATGTAATGAATGAAATTAAAATTTTAGAGAATGCAAACTTAATTTTTAGTGTGAATTTAAATTTTTTAATTTTAATTGTACAGAAAAAATTATCTTATTGAAATTAAAAAAAATTATACAATATTTTTTATTATTATTATATAAATAAAGAAAAACTAGAATTGAAAATAAAAGTTAAATAACAGAAATTATTTAATAAATAATGTTCCTTTCTTTCATTTCCTTCTAGAAACGTAGAAACACATTTACTTTACTATATTTATAATTATTCTTCCACTTTTAGAGAAAGGAATTTATTTTTAGAATTCAATTCAGAAAATATATTTAATGAACTGGACTAAATATAATATTTCCTTAAAGAGAGCTGAGAAATTTTGCAAACGAATAAGTTAATGGTTTATAAATTTCTTAACAGCTCTCTCTAAATTTGAATCAGTTAAAAATCACAGTTTTAACTAACAATCAGTCACTGAATTTTTGCTTCTAAATCAGTCAAAAGTAACTGATTTTCACTCCCTAAATCTAAATTAGTAGAATTCTACTAACTATAAATAACTATAAAAATATAAATTTTTATAACTTAATATAATTAAAATTTAACTAATTGTTAGTAGTTTTCAAGGACAATTTTTCCCCTTTTCAATTAGTAGAATATATTACTAATTGTTAGCGAAATTTTTACTAATTTTTTTAGTAGAATTTTACTAATTGTTAGTTATTTTTTTTTCACTAAATGAATTAGTGAAACTATTTTATCGACTATTAATAAAAAAAAGTTCTACTAAATTGTCAGTAAAATTCTACTAAGCAATTAGTAAAATTCTACTAACAACTAGTAAAATTTCACTAACTGTTAGTAAAATATTACTAAATCATTTGGTGGACGACTTTTCGTAGTTTCATTAATAACTTTCTACTAATTCAAATTTGAAGAGCAGTAAAAAAAGACTGATTTTCAGTAAAAAATAACTAAAAAATTAGTTAAGTTTGACTAATTGAATCAGTTAAAAAAATCTACTCACTGTAAAAACAAGTGTCTCAATGTAAGACGTTTTGTCCCCACTTTTGAAACATTTGAGGTGTTTTATCTCAAAATTATTGAGGTAAAACACCTCAAATGTTTCAAAAGTGGGGACAGAAACGTCTTACATTGAGACACTGTTTTTACAGTGCTAAAACATCAATTATTTTTAACTGCTAATTAATTATTTTTAACTAAACGACCAGTAAAAAAAATTTTTTTTGAATTAGTGACTAATTTTTTGCTTCTAAATCATGAATATTTTTAAGTGATGCAATTAAAAATTAAAAATTCATCAATGACTATATAATTTTATCATACTTTACAATTTATTAATATTTCACACTAAAAATAAGCTATGAGAGAAATTTTCCTTGTTCAAAAATTTAATAACTTTAAAAGTTAAATAATTCAATTAAAAATAAAAAAATTGCTCTAATTAAAAAAAATGTAATAAATAAAAATGGTTTTCCCGGAGAGAAATAATATATTATTATTTTAAAAAAGAAATATTTTCTAAAAGATAGAATGAAAGTTTGTTTATATTAGAGACATAAAAAATTAAAGTGGTATATGTGTTGTGAACACAATTGAAACAATCGATTTAGACCAACTTTGTATATAACACGAATCACTCTCTCATGTATAATCATGAGTATGTGTGACACACATATCCTCATTCCCCGCATCCCTTGTTTTGTACTACTGCCGCGAAAGGATCGTTAGTATACGAAATAATGTCAGTGAAGGATATCCGCAGGGAAAAGGTCAAGAGTCTATCTCAGGTCATGAGAACGGACTTGGCACAAAATTTTATTTCATTTTCTCTAACAGGCCATCATTTTCACCTATATCTATCCATTTTCGTATATATATAAGAGAAAATGTACACTTTTCAATCATTGACAAGATGATAAATAAGAAAAAAAAATTACATTTCAACAAAATTCATCTTCTTTCATGAAAAGAGGAACTTCAGGCGAGATACTCTTTTAAAGAGATAATAGTTTTCTTTGATTGAAACACGCGTTTTTTTCCGAGTAAAAGATCAATCGTATAAAATTATTGGTTTTTTAGACAAAGAAAACGGGGTTCGCTTTGATCAAAGAAAATTAGAAGAGGAAGGATATTTCTTAATCAAATCTAATTTCAAATAAAATTCTACACAGTTTGTTAATCAGAGAAATGTTTCCAAATAATACTCTCAATTATAAAGAAGAATTTTTCCTTCTTTTTTCAAGTCAATTTTCCTGCTTTTATTTTTATCAATAGACTATAAAAAGAAAATTAAACTTTTATTCGAAAACTATAATTACTGCTTCAACAGGCCTCGGATATTATGACTTTTCTTTACTATTTTCCAAAAATTAAGACTTTTTTTTTACTTTTCTTCCAAATATTGCAACAAAATTCTACATTTTTAGTATAAATTGCAAATTATTTTGATTTTTCTAGTGTGAAAAATAACTATATAGACAAATCTTTCAAAAATTATTTTTGAATAATTTTCCTAATTAAATTTTCTAAATATATAATTAAAAAGATTTGGAATAATTAAAATTTTGCAAAATTTAATTTTTTTCATTAAAAATTTTTAAAATTCAATTATTTTCAATGTTTTCAAAAATATAATTCCTAAAATTCAAAAACATAAGTACAAAAAATAATAGAAACATTAAAATTTTTCAGAATTATATTTAACAGTTTGGAGAAAACAATCATTGTGAAAATTTTTAATTAAAATTCTTTAAAAAATTACTTAGTTTTTTTTAAATTTTACAATAATTAGAAATTAAATTATTTTTGAAAAATTACATTAGAATAATTTTAAAAAACTAATTCTTAAAATTCTTTTATCAGAATTTTTAATGATTTACTTATCTACAAACTAAGTAAATTACATTGTTTTAAAATTTACTTATTTAGATTCTTATTTAAACGGAAAAATCATACTTATATTTATAATTAAAATTCTTCAAAAATTTGATTATTTATTTTATATTTTTCAAAAATTCAATCATTTTTAAAAAATTTTGTCAAATTTTAATTATTTTTAAAAAATTTTGTCAAACTTCAATTATTTTTAAAAGATTTTGTCAAATTTCAATTATTTTTAAAAGATTTTACCAAAATTCAATTATTTTTAAAAGATTTTGTCAAATTTCAATTATTTTTAAAAAATTTTACCAAAATTCAATTATTTTTAAAAGATTTTACCCAAATTCAATTGTTTGGAAATTTTTTAATTGTATATAATTGAAAGACATCTTTAAATAATTATTTAAAAATATATTTAAAAAATAAATTTAAAAGATTCTATATTATTATTCTTTTATATTTTTTTTGTGTCTTAAAGTTGATCCGAGGCCTGCTACGATTATGCTTAGAAAATAAATTTTCAGCATTTTTTAAATGTAGGTAAAAAATATTTCAAGATTGTCATAAAAATTTAATTTTCTTTTTCCCTGCGTCTTTTTCCTAATTTTCAAACAGACTTTGACTCTCATATAAAAAAAAATTCAAGGGCTATTCAATTAAAAGACAATTTTTAGAAGCAAACAATCTTTTTTCAGTATTAAACCAAAAATTAAATTCTTAATCACCGAATTTTAATGAATATTTATAATTTATTTTTATCCTAAAAATATGATATTAAAACTATAAAAATATAACGTAAAATTTAAAATTGTGGCGAATCAGCAACTTCTTTTTGCACACATACAATGTAATAAACTGTATTATATAACACACAAAAGGTGAAAACAAAATTTTATCCTTTTTAAACAATTGCTTTTAGCAAATATAAACGAAGAGAAATCGATAAAGGATTTTTCGTGAAAATAAAAGAAAAAAGAAATATATTTTTCAAGAAATAAAACGAGAGTAGAATACTCAGAAAAAAATATGACTTCATGCCGCACGTGAATTTTCCTACGTTAAATTTAAGACTGCAACAAAGCAAAGCCTCTTCTTTTTACCTGTTGTCTAGTCATTAAAACGTCGCGTTTTTAAATATGCCGAATAAAAAAATTAGAAATCGAGATGGACGAGACAAAGATTTCTTCGCAGACGAAATATCATCTATCGGCATGTCTTTACGACCGAGCGGAAGTGCATCTTCTGGTGAGTATGCATTGTATTCCATATTATATTGATTTACATTTACTAACAAAACTTAAAATGAGAAAAAAAGGCGAAGAAAAAAATTCATCGACAACGACTTTCAATTTAGTTCAAGTTGTACGATTTTTTATTATTCCGTAAGGTAGAAAAGTTTTCTTTCATAAAATTTAATCATTTCATTTCAATGCGAAAATTCACATTTTGTATACTATATTTACTATACAATACACTATACATATAACGTAGGACATTTCTCAAAATCTTTTATTAAAGCTTGTCTTCATTTTATCTGCAATATCAAGGAAAGGTTGAATATTTATTTCAAAGAAATTAATTACTATAAACAGCAATTAATTAAATTATTAGCGGAGAAAGACTAATTAAAACCTCTATAAATTGCAACTAGCCACTGTCTCTAAATATCTGAATTAGCAGAAAACTACTAATTAACAGTAAAACCGAGAACGAATTTGGCCCTATTCCAATTAGTGCAAATCATTAATTATTAGTACAAAATAATTAATTATTAGTACTCTCTAAACCTGAATACTAAGTTTTAGTAAAATCGTGGAACTTTATGCTTCAGCAATTAGTAAAAAAACTAATAATTGGTAAAAAATAACTAATAATTAGTAAAAAAATAAATAATATTTACTAAAAAAAAATTACTAATCAATAGTAAATAAATAAATACAAAGATAGTCTAATTTCACTAATTGAATTAGTTACAAAAATGTTAAGTTATTTTGACCTGACCTTAAAGTAAATTTAACTAATAATTATAGTCATTATTAACTATTTCATTAGTAAAATATTACGATTTATATCAGTGACCGACTTTTTATTATCAAATTAGTTATTTTTAATTAATTCAAATTTAGAGATTAAAAAATAACTAATTCAATAGTCAAATTCATTTACATAGTTGAAAATTTAGTTGTTCTCACTAAAATTTTATTTTATTGATTTTTTTTTCTAAATTCAATTATATTCAAAACTTGATTAATTTTGTTAAATAAATATTCAAATACTTCTACTTCTTATTTACTTTTTTACAAATAATTAAAATTTTTTAAATTACAAAACCTTCTGAAATTTAATTATTTCTCAAAATTACAACTGTAATTCCTGCAAAATTCAATTATTTCCTACATTTTTAAACTAAACTTCTTTTATAAATGAATAATTAGATATTAATTATTTTTCCAAAAGTTTTAGTAGAATAAATCTACTAATTTTTCAGTCACTTAAAATAACCTTAAAGTTACATTTACTAATGAATTAGTTATTTTTGACTAAAAATTAATCAGTCGTAACTAATTAATTTAATAAATGAAATGATTTAATAAATCAGTGCTGTTGAATTAGTTAAAAGTGCGACTAATTCAGATTTAGAAACCTAATTACTAGAACTTCCCTTATTATAGAAACTACCATTTAACAATTTTTTTAAATCACCAATAAAACTATCACCAAAAAACTGAAACTAAACTTTTTCTTGCAATTCAGCAGAATTGAAAATTTCACAGGAAAAAATATCTGATCGTAAAAATATTTTTTGAAATATAAAAAAATACCTTTCTTCACACATTTTTCTTCTATAATTTTTTTTTTAAATTGTCGACCTACATTTATTTATTGATTTTTTATGTACATAAGTATTTAACTTAATAGAAACAAAAGAGAAATATACGAAAAGTAAAGAGCACAATATTTTTTCAACATTCTCTCTGCGTTCTTGGATATTTAAAAGTGCATGGAGAAGAGCTTTTTACTTTCTTTTTGCGCTTACTTTGACATATCATTATATATCTACTTGAAGAACTTTTCAATTAAATTTATTCTAAAGCTTCGTATAGCTATATATGCAAATATAAATGTGGGTAAAACGACGTTAAGCACTAGAACTAATAAAGTACCTGCAATGCAAAACGACAAAACTGATTTGGTCCAACAGGTTCCATAAATGAAATTAGAACAGAAATTCATCGTTTACGTCTCCCTCACTCTCTCACTCTCTCCCTCTGAATATTATATTCAACTTGAAATTGAGCATAGAAATGCGTGAATTTGAATTTTCCTAAAATTATATAATAGCCTTCTCATTTTGAGTACATAAAATATAAATTCTATATAATGGATCTGTTACAAATTGCCTTGATATTTAGTCAAGTATACGTATACACAAAACTTGGGTAATTAAATGTAACTTTATTGGAAGTAAACTTCAACTCTTTCTGAAACGAAAATTTTATTTTCAAATAAGTCTTAAATTAAATTTGTTTTTAAACTATAGTTTGAGATCTTAATTTAAACTGAAAATTGTCTAAAACAAAATGATTGTAAATCTGAATTTACGATGCACATGACATTATAACATTTTTTTTTTTTGAGAATCTTATAACTTTTAGAAGTTCACTTTCGCATTTTAATAAATGAATTTCTTGTGCTAATTATCAGTGATGTATTTTAAATTACTTTAAAAATAATGATATCTTAAAACCAACAATTCATACTGAATTTAATACATAACTTTTCAAATTAAGATTCAAGATCTTTAATCTCGCAGAAGTTTCAGTTTGAATTAAGATTATCCTTACTTTTAAGGCTAATTTCATTTCAGACTCATTTAAATAAGATTTTCTTCTTACTGTGTACTCAAGGAGAAATTTTCTAAACTTGACATGCCAAATTAGAATATTTAATCACTAACAAAAGTAGAAAAAAAATTGAAAAAGCAGTTTATTTTATTCAGAATTATAATTCTTAAGAATTCTTCGATAATTCTTATGGGAATCCAAAAAAATTTTAGTTGAAACTTTTCATAAACCTAATTTTTTCAGATTTTTTAAATTCAATTATTCAAAAATTCAATAATTTTATTAAATAAATATTTAAATTTTATTGTTTATTTTTCCACAAGAATTAAAAATTTTTTAAATTTCAGTTTCAAACCTTCTGAAATTTAATTATTTCTAAAAACATCTACTGCAACTTCTCCAAAATTCAATTATTTTCTAGAAATTTAAATTAAATTATTTTCTAAATCAATTACTTTTAATAAATTTGACAAATTAAGTTTGACTCAATTATGAAGGTTGACCCAAAAATTTGATTTTGATTTTTCTTCACCTTTCCCTGATTTCCATACAATTGCAAAATTTTTTTTTTAATATCAATATTTAAATAAAATTAATTGTTAAATTATAAGTTATTCAAAAGTTTGTTAGGTGAACAAAAAAAATTAAAGAAGAAATTTTTGTAATATTTGCAAAGGATTCTGATGAATATACTAAAAATAAGACTTTTTTTTATCAATTCTAGAAATTTAGTACTTCTTTCACTACTTTTCAATATTTCCCTTCCATGACTTCTCCTTGAATTCCCTGATTTTCTTAATTTGTGGCAAACCTGAATATCAAAAAACAAACTTCACTTAAAATACGTCTAAAATTTAATTATTTTCAAATCAATTTTACAATATTTCGACTATTTATTAAAAAAAATTTCCAATTAAATAGACATTCAAAAGTTCAACTAATTTAAAAAAATTCGATTTGAAATTAAAAAAAAGTCCTTCAGAATGTAAAAATAAAACTATAATTTTATTCAATATATTTCAATATATTTTGAATATATTCAAAATTCTAATATTCAATAATTTTAATTTAAATCTTTTGAGATTTAATTATTTCTCAAAATTTCTACTGTAACTCTTGCAATATTCAATTATTTTCTATAATTTTTAGTAAAAATTTTTCTCTAAATCAATTGTTTCTAAATTTTCAGAAAGTTATTTAAGAATTCAATTCTTGAATTATACAAAAATTCGACATTTTTTTTATAAAAATTGCAACTGTAAATTTTCCTGTTTTTTAACAGTATAAAAAAATAAAAAATAGTTCCATTTTTAGAGTTTTCAAAGTTATAAAAAAAATGCAATGACAATTTAAGATTTTCAATACCCTGAAAGGACACAAAAAACAATAATTTTTTTATCATTTCTAGAATTTTTGATATTTTCTCACTACTTTGAATAAAATTTCCTGACCTATGGTAACTTTGTTATTGTCGATATTCATGAGAATATTTTTAAAGAAATCTCACTCAAAAATAAATTTTGAAAAAGTATTTGAAATCAAATTTAAAAAATTTATTCTCTTATAGAGGAAAATTTTTTACTACAATTTTTTTTCTCACTATGCAAATCAAAATAAGATGCATAAGCAAAAAAAATAAGAGAAGTCGATAAAGTCCTTTTATATTAAAATATGTCCGAAAAAGTTTCATTTTTAAAAAATAGTCGAAAAATCATACTATCCGAGGCCTCTTGATTGAAAACTATTAAAACGTCGCACGAGAAGCGAAATAAAATTTTTAATTTAAAAAATAATAATATCCACCAAAATTATAAAACTGCATTTTATTCTGATTTGGAAATTGGAATAAAATTTTCTATTCTAACTTTTGAAATTGTATTAAAATTACATTCGAGTCACGTATTTTGATTTAACAACAGTTTGTGCTTTCGAGAAAGAAAAAAAAAAGGAACTGGGAAAATTATAAACATAAATATTAAAATAAAAGTGAATTTTATTTGCACAATATATAACATTTAGTGTCACAGAGAAAATTTAGTAAAAAGAGGAAAAACTGTGTTTTCTCTTTTTTTTCTGTATGAGTGTATATCCTGTGTAATGGTTCGCTCCACATTTCTTTTAGTCCTATATAAAGCAGCTTCATAATGAGAATCCTTTCGTATCTCTTGGGCACTTTAATACCTACTTCATTTTATTCGTATTTATCTTTTTTTTTATTTTATTTTATTATTAGATATAACGTGGTGTTTTACTGCCACTCCTCAATGCTAGAAGCAATTTACGAACAGCCTCTCCATTATTGATGTTCCCATTTCCACTTTCCTGTATACAACGGACAAGAGAACTCCTCTCATTAACGCACTCGGATGCAGATGAAGGAAATGAACACGATGTCACCAAGGCCGTTTGCAATTGATTGTATAAATTCAAAAAGACACACTCCTTCATAAGAAGTTCCGAGTCTGCTATTTGTCGATCAATATCACATTTCCAAATTAAACTATCAAGAAAGTCCTCTCGGTATTTGAATCCATCTCCTTCACTTGTATATTGATTACCTCTGTCCCTTAACCATCGGGTCAACTACAAATTAATTCAAAATTAAAATTAGAACGAAAAACTATATCAGGATTGCCAAAGAAATTTTATTTTCTTTTTCCCTGACTTTTCCCTGATTTCCAAACAAAAGTTTGACTTTTTCCCTGATCCTAAAGAATATTCTGATTCACTCTCAAAATTATTAGATACTCAAAAAAAATATTCTATTACATTTATTTATGAATTTCCTTAATTGTAAAATTATTCAAAAACACCAATAATTTTTATTTGTATTTTTATTTTTTTTAACTAAGATTTTCAAATTTTCTAATTCAAACCTTTTGAAATTCAATAACTTATAAGAATATTAATTATAAAACATGAAGACATCAATCGCTCCTAGTGACTTCGACACAGAGTGATCAATTTCTTCATGTTTTATAATAATAAAAAATGACCGAGTGATAAAATCATTATTTTATATTATGAGAATATTTGTTACTGTAACTTCTTGAAAATTATTTTCATCATTTCAATTTAATTATTATTTTCTACAATTTTTAAATAAAATTCTTCTTTAAATCAATTATTTTTAATAATTTTAAAAAAAAATTCTTCTTTGACAATTTTCGAATCCATTTGTTTACAATTCAATTTTACGTGAAATTTCAATTATTCGAAAATTCTTCAATTAAATATACTTTAGAAAATAAAAACTTGAAATAATTTTAAAAAATATCGATTAAAGCTTTTTGAAACAAAATTAGTTTCATGAATTTATAATTTAAGTATGAAAAATTCAGATTTTCAAAAATTTTAATTTAAAACCCTTACAAAATTCAATTATTTCTAAAAATTGCAATTATTATCTAAAACTTTAACTGAAATTAATTTTTAAATCAAATTTTATTAGAAAATTCTACGAGAATTCAATTATTTAAATACAAACGTAGATAATTTATTGAATAATTGAATTAAAATTGAATTCTTATACACAATTTTATCCAAAAATTTTTAAATATGTAATTAACTTCTATCGACGAATTTTAATAATTTTTAAGAATAATTACATTTTGAGAATAATTGAATGTTCGTGTCGAATATTATCAAAATTTTTGTTTAATAATTGAATTTTTTTGGGAAATTTTATTAAAAAAGTAGAATATTGAAAATCATTGAATTAAGAAAAAAATTTTGAAAATAATTGAATTCTTGTGATGAATATTATTATTTATGAAAATAATTGAATTTTGCAATGAATTTTATTAAAACTCCTGAAAATAATTTAATTTTGCCGAAGAATTTTGCTATTCTTTTATAAAGATAATTGAAATGTTGACCATTTTTTTTAGATTTTTTTAAAATAATTGAATTTCTGCAAAGAATTTTATTAATTTTGAAAATAATTGAATTCTTGTGATGAATATTGTTATTTATAAAAATAATTGAATTTTGCAATGAATTTTATAAAAGCTCCTGAATATAATTGAATTTTGGAATGGTGTTAAAATTTGTAAAATTGAAACTAATTTCAACAGAATTGAAATTAAATTTTTTCAAAAAAAATACTTCATTAAATGATTTATAAGTAATAACTTTATGGCAAACAAAAAGACACAAAAATTGAGAATTTCTTATAAATCCTAAACATTTAATATTTTGCAGTAATTTTAATAAAAATTCTAGACTTTTCCCTGATTTTTCTGACTTTTCCCTAATTTCCCTTACCTATGGCAACCCTGTATATAAAAAAAATAGAAAATGATCACCTTTCCTCGACATGTAAATTGCAATGAATTTCCATCGAAACGAATTTTTTCCAAATTCTTCATAGGCTTTAAATCATCAGGTCGTAGGCAGGAAATCTGATTATTATTCAGATTAAGATTCCGAAGATTGTATAAATATTGAAAAACAGTAGACTTAATATTTTTGATTTTGTTAAAAGACAAGTCAAGTTCTTTTAAATTCGGAGTATCGTAGAACCATTCGAAATAAACATGACTAATATTGTTATTATTCAAGCTTAATTTTTGCAAATTATTTAAGCTTGCGAAGGCATGTGTGGCTATTTCGACTATTTCACAATTCTGAAGAGACAAAGACTTCACAATTGATCCAAAATGCAAAAATGTGTGATCCCTTATTTGAGGAATTTTCGACAGTGTAATAAATATATTCGAAATAAATTTTTCTCTGCTACTTTCAATTTCATCCAGACTCGAGTGGTCACATTTTAAACTCTTGAAGCCTAAGTAAAAGATCGAATTAACATTGCATTTTTTAAAAATAATTAACATCTAATATATCACATTAATTTATTTTAATATTTATCTACTTTACTAGTAAAATATTACTATATTTGAATCAGTGACTGAGTTTTTACTAGCAAATTAGTTATTTTTAATAAATAAAAATTTAGAAAGAATATTTTCTTAAAAAAAAAGAACAAAAAATAATAATTATTTGAAAAAAAATATTACTTACCGTCGTCATCGTTTATCGAACAAATTGCATTAGTGAAAGGGATAAAAACACTAATATTAAGTGACACTAGTAGTAATACAATCTTCTTCATTGTGGTTGAATTGAAACTAAACCGAAATATGAATGTCATACACTTTAAATGACATAAACGGATGTTTCAAAACGATAAATTTTTAATCTACCCGAAGCTTCCTGCTGATTTTTTTTATCAGAAAGCTGCTATATCCCTAATAAATTATATCGGAACCCAATATTAATAGAAAAATAGTATTCTCCTAACGTTAATTAAATCCATAAAGAAAAATTATTTATCAAAAAAAGAATTATAGATACAATTTGATACTTTTAAGAATGCTGTGAAGTAAAAAATTGTCTTTCACATACAGTATTAAATTTAATTATTTTCCTATCCTATATATAAAAATTATTAGTTTTGAATAATTTTATTCAAAAATTTGATAAAATACTTGAATTTATGAGAAGAATTTAAATAATAATTTATGGAAATAATTATATTCGCGTGTAAAGAATTTTACTAAATTTTCATTAAATAATTAAAATTTTGACAAGAATTTCATTAAAATTTTTTAAAATAATTGACTTCTTGAGAAGAATTTCGCTACCTATTCATAAAAATAACTTAATTCTGGACGAGAGTTTTTCAAAAATTTTGAAAATAATTTAATTTCTGCAAAGTATTTTATTACTTTTCAAAAGAATTGAATTCTTCTGATGAATTTTGATATTTATCAAAATAATTAAATTTTGAAAAAGAATTTTCTTAAAATTCCTTAGAATAATTGATTTTATTGGAAGAATTTATGCGATTTTGTTGTTTATCAAGGTAATTGAATTCTTTTGCAAAATTACTTAAAAATTTTTGAAAATAATTGATTTCCTGCGACGAAAAAACAGTTATTAATGAAAATAATTAAATTATTGCAATGAATTTGATTAGTTTATTGAGTAATTTAATGTTTCTTAAAATTGAATTCTTTCGTCGAGTTGTAAAAAATTTGTTAGAAATTCTGCGATGAAAATAATTGAATTCCTAAAATAAATTTTATTATTTATGAAAATAATTGAATGTTTTCGTAGAATTCTTTTAAAAATTTTTTTTCAATAATTTCTGATAAATTTTATGAAAATAGTAAATAGTTCGTTAAAATTTTTCAAAATAATTGAATTTCTACGAAGAATTTTATTAATTTTGAAAATAATTGACTTCTTGTGATGAATATTGTTATTTATGAAAATAATCGAATTTTGCAGAGAATTTTATTAAAATTCTTAAAAATAATTGGATTTCTTAAAAGAATTTAAGAAAATTAAGAAAATTTTAATGAAAATCTCTGACTTTTCCCTGATTTTCCTGACCAATTCCCTGACTTTTCCCTTAATTACCTGATTTTTCTGACCCGTGACAACCTTGCAGAAGTGTTGAAATTTTGAATAATTTAATTTAAAAATTTTGAACAAATTACGTTTTTTAAAAATTGTAATTAAAATATTTTTGCTTTAATTTTTAATAATTTTTTTGGTAGAAAGTATTTTAAACTAACAACTGTTGCCAAAATTTCACGCGCGTGTAGTTATACTAGTTAATAATAATATTAATTTATAATAATAATAATAATATTAATATTATTAACAATAGTATTTAATAACATTAATAATAGATATTATTAAAATAAAAACGACCACAATTAATAATTTAATATAAAGGACTTTAAAGATTATTAATATTAATAGATATCCACAATATACCCATCAAATTATACTCACGAGAGTATAAAAATATCTCAAATATATCCACTCCACCAAAAAGGAAATATTAAATGAGAACTTCAGAAATTATGTGCACCTATAGATAGAATGAGGCTTTAAAAATGTCAAGGGATTCAATTGAAATTCAAATCTTTACGCTATTCTGTTTGTATCCTTTGATAAAACGAATATTTTTAATTTTTCCTTTGTTCCTGAATTCGATATTGTGCGTCCAATTAAAATTTCCAACTATAACTCAGAAAACAATAGCACCCCGAAATTATCTCAAACTTTTTTTTTGGTTTTGAACAAAAATATGTATAAATGATTTTGTTGTCTATCCGAACGAATAATGACAAATAATTGAAAAAGGCTGAGTATGGAAAAAAATTAAATCATTATAAAAATTCGCAAGAATTCAATTATTTTTATAAGTAATACAAATTTCTCACATCAATTCAATTATTTAAAAAAATGTAATTAAATTTTCGTTGTTAGAATTCAATTATTTTTATAAATAATAATATTCTCCACAGGATTTCAATTATTTAAAAAAAATGTAATAAAAATTCGTTGCAAGACTTTAAGTAAATTCTTCGAAAGAAATATTTACATTTTTCGAGGAATTCGGTTAAAATAAATTGTATTAAAAATAATTGAAATTCTATGATGAGAATTTCAATTATTATTTATGAATTTTATAATTTAATATTCATGAAAATAATTGAATCTCTAAACAATTTTATTATTTATGAAATAATTGAATTATTGCGAAGAAATTTATAAAAAAATTTGTAAATAGTTGAATTTCTGTGAAATTTTTATTATTTATGAAAATAATTGAATTTTGGAGAAAAATTTTGTTCTTTTTAAAGATAATTGAAATTTTGACAAGAGTTTTTTGTAATTTTTTAACAAAATTGAATTTCTAGAAATATTTGTAACTTCTCTAAAATTCATTTTTTTCGTGATTTTAACTAAAATTCTTCTATAAATCCATGATTTTTAATAATTAATTAAATATATATTAAGAAATTAAATAAAAATATAATTATGGATCGTGTAAATTTAATTTTTTCCAGTACTTTAATAAAAATCCCTGACTTTTTCCTGAATTCCCTGAGCTGTGACAACCCTGGTCTAGGATAATATTATAAATAAGAATACAATATTAAATATATTGTAATTTTTGTGATTTCAGGCATTTCAAGCTTGGCAAGTTGTGGCGAAGTTGACAACTTGCCTGAGCTGCCACCACAAGATGAGGAGAGACTGCAACGAGCTGCGAGATTATTGCAGCAGAGACTGGTCTTGCGTCAGTGGTTAGCAGACCATGGCCTTCATAATTATTATCAGAGGTGCATTAACGTAATTTTAAACCCACAATAGAGTCACGCACAAATAACTATACATTTTCTCTTCCTTCGTCAAGTCAACAATATACATAAATATATATAGTAAATAATTTTTTTTTCTAATTTCTCAAGGATAATGCAAATGGAAGTAGTATCTTTGGAAGACGTTTACTGGGTGGAAGACAATGCAGCACGTTCGGCTTTGGGAAAAGATCTTCCTAAGTGGGTTCAAGCTCGACAAACTTTGCCAACATCTAAGGAAGATTTGGAAGCCCTTAAAGCAGATCTTTGGAGTTCTGTTGTCAAAAACAGTCAACACCAGGACGCTTGGACTTGGGGTATTTAAACCGTTAATTCTATTATAATTCATATTCAGTTTTCTGATTCTTTTTTTAAAATAAGTTTTAAAAATATGCAATATAATACAAATAGATCGTATTAAATTAAATATAATATATTCATATACAGTCAAATCTGGATAAGTTATTTCGCGAATAAAATATAAATATAAGCGCATCCTAAAGAGGGAAAGGGTATAATAAAAAAGGACTCACCGGTCGTAGATTCTCTTCTCAAACTGTTGACGTGCTGTCAACTTTCCTTCCTTTGGTACGGTCCAACAGATTCCTTCCAATCCAGTGAAGTCATTTAATCTGATATTGGAAGCCTCCTCTGGACCACTTTTACAAATATCCTTTTGGAATCGTTTAATTGACGTGAAGAGAGGGTTCTCCTTTCGTTTTAAATGCAATATAAACTGGCTGAAAAGTTAAAAAAAGTTAATTAAAGCAAACAAATATTTTTAATCTTTTTAGGTTATGTGTAACACTACACAGAAAAAAAATTTATTTGATTCAAATAACCGATTACTTGACTATTATCAATTAAATATTTAATTGAATCAAATAATATTTATTGGAGTCAATTAAATGGTATTTTAACCAATAATTTCAATTAAAATTTTTTGAATTTTTTCCAATAACTTTATTAAAATTTTTTAAAATAATTTTTTTATTTCAACTGTTAACAAATTTAAAGTAATGTAAATTTTCAAACATGAAAAAAAGTAGCATCTCAAATAAAAAAAAGGATCCAAATAGTAGCAAATTGTAAAAAAAGTAGTAAATAGTATAGGTTTTAGTAGATGCCACTAATTTGGATTTAACCGATTTAACAGACTCAGAAACTCGCAAATAATAATTTTTTGCCACGTTAAATAAGTAAAAACTCAGAGCTTTAAGTGAAATGAAAACAAACGAAAACAAGAAGAAATTAAATAAAACTGACTTACCTATGAAGACAGTATCCTTAGAGTGTTGACCAGTATTGACAGCTCGACCACCATTGAAACAACTCGTTGAGAAATATTTCCCAATTGAGTAAAATGTGAACAATTCTATTCTGCTTCACTTCTTCAAAGCCTTTTCTAGACCAGCTCACGTAGATCCCTTCAAATCAAGCAGAAGGAAATGCATTGAAACTGCCTGAAAAAAACAAGACATCAATTATTATTTAAAAATATCGAGGCTGTATAGAACAAAAAATCGTTCACCCCAAAATGAATAAATTTATTTCTTTTTGTCAGTTTGGAAAAAATGTATGTTTTAAACATAGATATACTGTCAAAAAGAGATCAATTTATTCGATTCAGGGTGAACGAAACAGAAATGTGGTCAGCTATTTTTAAACCTTAACTAAAAGAAAAATAGCTTTGAGTGTATTTACATTCCATATTTAACTAAAACGAAAAAAAACTTAAGTAAAGAATAAAGGAGCTTAAGGATCAGAGCGAAGACACAATAAGAACGAGACAGAAAAGATAAGATTCTTCTCTGACATTTGTTATCTCTACTGCAAGGCTTAAGTTCACCTTTTCCTTAATGAAGTACGATAAATATGCACAAATTAAGAACGCGCGATGAAAATATAGTAGACAATAGGTTTGAGTTGAACAATTAGAAGGTAAATAAAAATTACTTACCTAGACAGATTGCATCCTCATAGCAATCACAGCGTAGTCTCCACTAAATCAACAGTAGGATCCGCTTCAATAGATAGTAAACAAATTGAGAAGTGCTGTCTTCATCCACTTCATCCTGTCTTTTAAATCAGAACTACCTGAAAAAATTCAAAAAAAGTTTATTAAATAATTAACGAATAAAAATAATCTATTCATACAGAATAAATCAAATTTAAAAAAAAATTTTCTAACATTAATAATTGAATATAAAAATAAATACATAATTATGATCAATCGAAATATTTAATGTTACGAATTTCAATTATTCGTAAATTCTTCAATTAAATATATATATTAGAAAATAAAAACTTCAAATAATTTCAAAATAAAAAAAATTATCAATTCGATACTTCAGTGTGATACAGAATTAAACTCATTCAAAAAAATTAATTTAAAATTTCAATCAATTCTTAAAATTCACTCTAAATTGCTTTTAATGTTCAATTATAATCAAAAACATTAACTGAAATTCCTTTTGAAATCAATTTTTACTAGAGAAAACTCTACTAGAATCCAATTATTTAAATAGAAAAATAAATAATTTATTGAATAATCGAATGTTTCATAAAATTCAATTCCCATAAAGAATTTTATGAACAAATTTTTAAATAATTAAATTCTTTAAAAGAATTTTAATAAAATTTTTAAGAATAATTACATTTTTCGAAAAATTTGATTAAAATTGTATTAAAAATAGTTGAAAGTCTGCGATAAGTTTTATTATTAATTATGGAATTAATTGAATTCCTAAAAAGAATTTTAGTATTTACGAAAATAATTAAGTTTCAGTAAAAATTTTATTATTTATAAAAATAATTCATTTATTGCGAAGAAATTTATAAAAAATTTGTAAATAATTGAATTCCTATAAAATGTTTATTATTTTATGTAAATAATTAAATATTAGCGTAGAATTTTTGTCAAATTTTTTTTTAAATAATTGAATTCTTTTGGAAAATTTTATTAAAATAATTAATATTGAAAATCACATAATTTCGGCGAAAAATTATATTACTTTTAAAAATAATTGAATTTCTCCAATCATTTGTAATTTCTCTAAAATTCTCCAAATTATATCATACAATTTACGAACTTTTCCTCCTTTTTCTATCAAATTACGGGCTTTACGGACCTTTTTTAAAAAAAAACTTACGTTTACAGATTTAAAACAAATTTACGGACCTTTACTGGATTTACGGACCTAGTTCGAGCTCTGAATTAAAGGTTAGGGCTGAATGACAGCAAATGCAGGAATTAAACGCAAAAAAAGAGACAGAATAGAAATAAGACTTACCTGATGCGATGCGATGGTGTCTGTGCGTCCTCTAGAACTCATGGGATTTATTTTCGAATTGTGCAAAAAAGGCCATTCTTCTGACTCCAAGTTCCTCAAACTCATTTTCTAGATCGGCTCACAGAGATTTCTTCAAATTATGTAGAAGAAGGGGAGATGGATCACTTTCCTGGGCGACCGTTCTTTGGTTTTCATTACGATTTTCTTCCACATGAAACGAATGCCTCGATTGACATTGGTAGGAAAAACTAAACTCCATTTGTTCACATCAAGTGTGAATTCTATAAGTTTGTCATTTATGGAAAAGGCCTGAAAAAAAGGAATAAAATAATGGAGTTAATTACCTAAGTAACATAAATAATTTAGTATATTAAGCAAAAAGGCACAAAAGTGTCGATTTCAAATAGAAAACGACAGCAAGTACAAGTCATTCACTTGTTCGAAAATGGCCGCCATTTTCTTACGGTCGAACAAATGAATGACTTTACTCCCTGTCGTCTGCTAACATAAAGTCACACTTTTGTCTCTGTGAAGTAAAATAGATTAGTAAATAATTTATACTTACATAAAAATACCAATAATGGGTTTGATACTCGAACAAATGACAGCGCATCCTGGTTTCGTCCGTCTTCCAGCGAACTCTCACCAGAGTACAACACGGGAGGGGGAACTTTCATCCTGCCTTTTGAAATCTGTAAAACTATACAAAAAATACGATAATTAAATAATTAGTATGTAAAAATATCAGTCGCAAATTGTTCATGAAATTATTTTTATAAATTTCTTCGCATAAATGCAATTATAAACATATAATTCCAATATTTATAATTTTACATAAAATTCTAAGTTAAATGCGATAAAGTACGAGAAATTATGTTAGAAATATAATTAATTTGCTTTAGACACTAATAAAAATATAAATAAAATAAAAACTTACCATGTTCTGCGTCCACCTGAACAGCACATCCAGAATCTTCCTTCACTGACATTGGTAGAAAAAACACCCACTCTTTGTTCGAATTGGTTCCAAAGAGCGTAAAGTCGTTGAATGGTCTCAAACGGCTGGACTGCAGTACGTGGAGGTTGGCAGCAATGAGAAGTACAGGGAGACCTGCCTCCTCCTCCACCCCCTTCCCCCCTGGAGTTCCTACCACCAACAACCCCGACCATCAGGGGAGAGGGGGTAGGACCCCTGGCGGCCTCTCCAACCGGGGAGTTCCATAGGGAACAACATCCCGGGAGAGCAAGCTAACACCACCGTCGCCGGTGGTTGCCGGCCGCCAAATGAGCTCCGCGCACAAGACTGACGCACGTTCTGATCCGCGCGCACGCGATTGGCTGGCGCTGTCGGCCAATGAGCGAGCGCCTCGGCGACTAGTAGCGCGCTTGTGTTCATTATTCAAACTACTATAACTTACCGACTGTCGATAATTTATTTACAAAAAAAACACTAAAGGCCAACGCAGAATAGATCTGTAACCGGAATCGCAATCGTAAGCGTAACCGTAAGAATGAGTTAAAGAAGGATAGGTATATTGTTTATCCTTCTCTAACTCATTCTTACGCTTACGGTTAAGATTGCGGTTCCGGTTACAGATCTATTCTGCGTTGGCCTTAAAATAATAATAATAAACAGTAAAACATTAAAACAACAATAAAAGACAAAATAAGTATTTTTTGTATTTAACAATTTACAAACAATAAAGTGCATAATAATAGATTTAAAGAAATATCTGAACTGTTAAAAGAATATACAGTTATATTATTATATAATAATTAAAATTGCTTTTTAATTATTACTGTTTAAGTGTTTACAATTCTCTAAGAAAATATGGTGATAAAATCGTGGTTAAAAAATTATTACTTTTATTACTATATTATTAGATTAAAATTATATTCTTAAACTATAACAAAAATAGCAAGTAATTACTTGAAATATGTAAATTGTTAAATAATTGTGTTTATATGCAAAAGCATTCTTGAAATTATTATTATTTACTGCTTCCTTATCGAACCGGTTATAAGTTTAAGGTTATCTTGATAATGTTATTATACATATATAATTAATTGAATAATTGTAACATAATATATAATCAACTCTTTTGACACACTTAATATTATTAAAAAGTTATTTAATATTTGTTTTACATTTTATTCTTTTATAGAAGTAAGGATATTTTTAATCACATGTGAATTGTTCTAATTTTGTTTATATTTTTGCAGGCGGAATGTTGGTAGTGTCAGTCTCAGTGGCAGGTCTCGTCACCCTGGCAGCAATGACACAACCGGCTTTGGCTCCAGAAGCAAAACATTCACTTCTGCAATATGTCACGGGAAAATATCTTTTGCCCAGTAATTGTCGTGTTCATTTCGAATGGGAGGAACCTCAATTAGTTGGAGAAACAATGACATTTACCGTTAAAGTAAGAGGATTTTTTATTTACAAATAAATTTTCCGTTGGTATTTATTTTTAAATTTATTAATTATAAATAAGCTTATTTTGTTACTAATTAGGTAAATTTAAATTTTTTATTAGTGTAAAATAAAATATATCGATATTCAAGGAAATCAGGGAAGTCAGAGATTTTTATTAATTTACTGGAAAAAATTAAATTTCTAATAATTTTACAATTAGTGCCCGTATATGAAATAAATAAATAAATTAGAGAAATTCATAAATCGCGAAAAAGAAAATTAATTTTGTGTAGCAGCCCTTTTGTAGAAAGTTTTCTAGTAATTGTTAATTGAATAAATTCTAAATGTTCTAAATTGTTTTTAATCAAAAAGTGGTATAAAATTAGAGACTTTTAGTGGAATTAAGTTCCTCGTTTTTTATATACTTTCAGTTTTATCAGCGAAATGGCCAGCCATATCCGATTTGCGACAAGGACAATCTCATTGTCGAAGTGACAGAAGGAGCTCGAAGAGTAGCAACTTTAATAGAATTAGGAGGAATGGATCCTCTTGCGGCAAATGCAGCAGTTGTTAAATTTACTGTCCGACATGCCGGACAATATCGTATAGCCGTTCTTATCGGTTCCTGCCACGTTTACGGCAGTCCTTTCCTTAAAATTTTTCTTCCCGGTACATTTTCATTTTACTTTATTATTCTTTTTTTACACTTTATTACTGAATATAATATAATATTGAATGATATAATACTGAATATCATATAATAATAATTATTAATTACATTTTAGTATAATTTTATTATGATTGATAAATGTAAATTTAATTGTATTTAAATTTTAACTACCCGAGGATTTTTTAAAAATATAATTTGATTATTTTACCATACGTTTGATGCAAATTTTTTAATTAATATTTTTTTTCTTCAGGACCTCCAGATCCAAATAAAACGGTCTTCGTGCGCCAGAGCTCGACGGTCGTTTGCACTGCTGGCGTTCCCCATTCATTAACAATTGAACCACGTGATGAATACGACAATCTCTGTATATTTGGTCCTGCAGATAAACCCACGGAAGGTTATGATGTAAATATTACACAAGTGAGTAATTCTCTTATTTACAACGAATATTATTTATTTTCTTATTTAAGAATTTTTCTTAAAAAGCAGATTTAACAAAATAAGAAAAATGAAAATTAACAAAATCGATATTTTTGAAGAATTAATAATGAAATGATTAACAGATCGGTAGTGTAGGAGGAGAAGGAGAGGCAGTGCCAGTGGATTGTAAAATTCAACTTGATTATGATTCACCAAATCAAAGGATTCGATTGAAAGTCAGTTTTCCCAGCAGCGGATGTTTTCACGCCACTGTCAGCTTAAATGGCCTACAACTTCACAATGGTGACTTTTCTATAATAGTCCTCGAGAGTAAGTTAATAATTTTAATTCTATTCTTTAATTTTAATTGTATATTGAATTTTATTGTTTAATTACAATTTTATATTCAATTCTATTTTATAATCACAATTGTATATTCAATTATATTGTATAATTGCAATTATTTTAGATAATTTCAATTGTTATTTTTTGAAAACTCAGGTGCTGTTAGTAGAGCTGTTCATCAAAGTGTAGCGTCAAAGAATTTTGACACTTGTTATGCGGCGAAATTATTGGGAATGCAAGGCGAACGATTCGCAAAACCAAAGAAAGTCTTTTGTTTCATTTCACCCAAACAATTGACAATTAAAGAATATCTTCTCAGGTTTATACCCAAGCGCCTTGTGACATTTCGACTCTGTCCTTCGACGAAGGTATCATTTTTTTTCTATTCAATACAATTATTATTCAAACAAATATTTTTTTCTTGTTTTGATAATTTCAAAAATTGTTAATTTATATTTTTTATTATTGACTGCAACAATATTAAATTGTTTCAAAATCTTTATCTTCTCTATTCAGTTATTCATTTTTGTTGATTATTGGTCAATTATTCGCTTTTAATTTAATTTTAAATTCAATCAAACATTTTATACAGATTTTTATTTTTATACACACAGACTATGTTTTTATTTAGAAAGGATTCGTTTTTTTCTATACATTCATATATCTGTATTTCATTGCAGTTTTACTTTGAAAGTTCAAACAGTGATTCGTTTACAATCGACGATGGTTGTCAGCCTCCAGTTGAATTGATTTCACATTATCGTGATATCATTGCTGCCACGTTTACTCTATTTTTACTGAAAAATATCGGAGGAAGTGAGACATTTGCCGATAAACAGGATTTCTTTTATCATGAAGTACGAAAACATCATCAAAAACATTATCACGAGAAATTATCAATGAAAATTCAACGTGAAAAGCTACTTGAATCTGTAAGTTTAATTTATTTTGTTTATCCTCTTTCATTTTTAAACAGATTGAAATTTTCAGTCAAGTTATCATTTTATAAAATTTTGATTAAATTAAAGAATGAAAATTCTGTAGAATAATTTATTGTACTGAGAGAAATGATTTTTCTTTGGTTTAGTCTATGAAGGCAACAAAAGGCTTTTCCGTTAGCGATTGGTGTAGGAATTTTGAAATTACCTTCCAAGGCGAACAAGGTAAATATTTTTTTATATATAAAATCAAACTCTTATTTAATTCTATATTTAATTGTAACAATTATTCTCATTTACCTATTTGCTGGCTTCACACTCAATAATTAATTTTAAAAATGTATCAAAAAGCAACTTTAATACTGAAAAAAGGAGTAAAAAAGTATCTATCGAAAATTAATTTTAACGAACAAAAAAAATTGTTTTAGTCGATTCACAAAAATTTGATTCAGTATTTCCATTTCAATCAAAAATATTCATTGAATTAAATGTTTCTTAAAATTTAATTCTTACAAAGAATTTATCAATTTTTTAAAAAATAATTGAATTTCTGAGAAGAATTTAATTATTTATGAAAATAATTGAATTTTTGCGAAGAATTTTATTTAATTATTTTTTAAATAATTGAATTCTCCTAAAAAAGTTTATTATTTAGGAAAATAATTGAATTCTTGCGAGGAATTTTATTTAATTCTTTTTTAATAATTTAATTCTTGTAAAGAATTTTATTTAATTCTTTTTTAATAATTTAATTCTTGTGAAAAATTTTATTATTTAGGAAAATAATTGATTTCTTGTAAAGAATTTTATTAAAATTTTAAAAAATAGGTAATTTAATTCTTGAGAAGCATTTTATTATTTATCTGAAAATAATTGTATTCTTGTCTGGAATTTTATTTAAATTTTCAAATAAATAATTGAATTTTCGTGAAAAATGTTATTGCTTTTGAAAGTAATTGAATTCTTGCGGTAGAATTTTATATAAAAAGTTTTTAAATTGATTTTTTTCGAAAAATTTTATAAAATATTTTATGTAATTCAATTCCTGTGAAAATTGTATTACTTATGAAAAAATTGAATGTTTGCTAAGAATTTAATCAAAAATCTTTTGTGGAATTTTATTAAAATTGTATAGATATTGAAATTTCGAAAAGTTTTCATGAATAATTGAATCGTTTTAAAGAATTTTTAGAATTTTTTTTATTTCAACTATTAGCGAATTTAAAGTGATGCAAATTTTCCCCAAAAATAAAGAAAAAAGTAGCTTTTAGTGTCATAAATCTAAAAAAAAGTATCCAAATAGTAGCAAATTGAAAAAAATGTAGTAAATAGTAGGTTTTAGTAGATGAGTGCGAAGCCTGTATTTGAGTAGATTGATGATTATTTTTTATTATATGAATATTTTGAATAATTACAGGAGTCGATTGGGGTGGCGTTCGTCGAGAATGGTTTGAATTGATTTGCGCGTCGCTATTCAATGCAGGCAATGGATTATTTTCGTCGTCAGGCGATTCACAACAGGCGTTGGTGCATCCGAATAATAAGCGACCGCCTCATTTAAAATTGAAACACTATGAATTTGCTGGTCGAATTGTTGGTAAATGTCTCTATGAATCGGCACTTGGTGGCTCGTATCGGCAACTCGTGAGGGCACGTTTCACTCGTTCATTTCTCGCACAATTAATTGGTCTTCGCGTTCATTATAAATATTTCGAGCAAGACGAGCCCGATTTGTATTTGAGTAAAGTGAAATACATCCTGGAGAATGATGTCGAGGAAATGGATCTTAATTTTCTTGAGGAGGAATACGATAATGAAGGACAATTATTGAAAGTTGCTGAATTAATTCCCGGTGGTGGGAAAATTCGTGTCACTAATGATACGAAACTTCGTTATCTTGATGCATTGGCGCAACACAGGCTCGCCAGTTCGTCGCGAAATGAAATTGATCATTTTCTAAGGGGACTTAATGAACTCATTCCCGATAATCTTCTTGGTATTTTTGATGAGAATGAACTCGAGGTAAAGTATTCATGTGTCAAGAATATATTTTAAAGAAGAGTAGAAAAGTTTCATGAATATTCTTGTTTCTTTATTATTTTAATGTTGTATTTTTTTTATTAGTTGCTTCTGTGTGGCACTGGCGAATATAATGTGGCGGATTTGAGAGCTCATCACATAGCGAATGGAAATTCGAGTGAATTTTTACGTGTGTTGGATTGGTTCTGGACGGCGGTCAGTAATTTTACACAAGAAGAAATGGCGAGATTACTGCAATTTACAACTGGATGTTCACAATTGCCTCCGGGTGGTTTTCAACAATTGAGCCCTCGATTTCAAATCACAGCTGCACCGACTTTCGGCAATCTTCCCACTGCACATACTTGGTGAGAATGGAAATTAAATAGAACATTCAGTTTTTTATTTCTTTTTGTTTTTAATTTCCTGAATATTTTTTGATTTTAATTTTTAAATAGGACAAAAATGATTTGAAAAACTAAAAATTGATTTCTTTTTTAAAGCTTCAATCAACTTTGCTTGCCTGACTACGAGTGCTACGATAACTTTGAAAAGGCTCTTCTACTTGCAATCAGCGAGGCCGAGGGCTTCGGAATGATTTAAAATAATGGATAAAATATTAGGATCTACATTCCTCTAGTCTAATTTCTCAATCTAGCTCAAATTGTTAAAAGCATTTTTATTTTTCGCTCAACGTACGAATACGTTTTCTACTGTATAGATCTCTTTTATTTCAATAGTATTTGCTTTCGAATATTAATTATTAATTAATTTTTACTAACATAATTATTTAATTAAAATTATAAATTTGTTTAATAATCTTCAAAAAGTTACTAGGATCAATTCTTTTCTATTTAAATAGAAAATAATATTTGAATGAAATAATTGAAAAAAATCTGCGTGAACAAATGAACTAATTTCCAAATAGAAGGAAAACTTGAATATTTATTGAAATAAAAAAAATAGAGAATATATAATTAGTTTATAAATTTGAAAAATTGAGATTTGTGATATACAATATAGATTATTATATCGACTAAGTGATTGTTAAACTTCGTAATTGCGATTTTTTCTTTATACATATATACACGAAAGCTTCACTATTACGAACACATTAATTTTGTCATTGTTCTTTATTTCTAGACAAGGAAACAGCATTGTGCGAACATTTTATATATTTTTTTACGTTTTTCTCTCTTCGCTCACAAAAACTACAAACAGATAATGAAAAGAAAAAAGCAAAAAAAAAAGAATAGTCAAAAAGTATAGAATATTTTCTAGATTGTTTAGAGAATGTAAAAAGTATTTATTATATAGTTAATAATTAGAAATGAAATAGAATTATGTCCTTAGTTGAAATACTTATAAATATTTATCTGTGCATTTAAAAAAATTTAATTTTAGATTTTGAAAAGGCTGTTTTAGTATTTGTTTCTCTATGTTAAATAATAATTTCGATATTTAGAATCTACTTAAAAAAAAGTATTTTAAGTGTTAACATATTTTAAGAATTCAACATATTTTTAGAATTAAACATATTTTTCATGGTATAATAATACTACTTAAAAGAAAATACTTTTAGCGTTTAATATACTTTTCGTATTAAGAAATATTTTTTCTAAATAAATAAATTTCATAAATAAAATACTTTCCTAAAAAGATAATTGAAAATAAATAATTTACATTTTTGTCAATATTTTTCTTCGTAAAAACAATAATATTGTACAATCTTCATCACGCAAATGTTCGTTAAATCTAAAAATTTAATTGTAATTGCAAAAGAATTTACTTTAAAAACTTTAGTAATGTACAGAGAAAAAAATTATCTTTTATAAATTTTAGAAACTCTTAAAATGCAATGAAAGACTATCATCGTTTTGAGTATAGATAATTTTAAATTAGAATTTTGATTACAGAGAAAACAAAAATTAAAAATTAAAGACTTGGAAGTTATAAAGCTTCATGCTAATTAAATTACATTAAATTGAATAAGTGAATTTTTATTATAATTTAACAAATAAACGTTTATATTTAAATATATAAATAGTTATGAATATTTATGAATATTTATTAATATTTATTAATTCATTTAAATTCGATTAAATAAAACTAATTGAAGCTAATCAACTAAATGATATAAAAAAATTAAGAGTTTCGCTTTATAAATTATTAACAAATTTTAGATGCTATTTGTAAATTTAGTTTAAAGTTAAATAAAAATTTAATTTGAATTAAAATCATCAAACAGTGATAAAAATTGAAAACTCACTGAAAATTTTGAATCAATTTCATCAACAATAATATGATAGCGATAATAATTAAAAAAAATACTTTCTCATTATGATGAGACTGTAATTAATAATGAAATAATAAAATTACAAAAAATAAATAATAATAGGAACTATTCATACATTTTTAGCATGTAGTATCTAATGCAGTAGCTTATTTTTCCTAAGTTACTGTAAGAAAAATGTAAAAAATACATTAATTGAAACTGATTTTAATTGTACATATTTATTCTACAAAAGTCCTTTATTCATCCTTTTTTTTGATAAAAAAAAGCAAATTTAAAAAAAAGATCTATTAAAATAATCCGTTAAAATATATTTTTTTTTCTTTAAAAAAAAAACACCCCTCGCTTGTAAACTATGCAAGTGTAGTATAAAAATAATTAAAGATTCGTGCTTGGTAATTTAGTTTTCACTGCCAATTGAATCCCCTTTTTATTATTTGTCCCTTTCGCCCCGACATTCTTACAACTCAAGACTTTTTGCCTGGTGTAAAAAGAGAAATAAAATCGTTCAGAGAATTCTCATCCGCTCTTGGAATAAGAGACTGCGAATTGTTCATCAAAGCTTTTAAAAGACTCTGAAATAGATTTTTTAAATTGTTAATTCTATTTTTATATTTTCATCCCGTGTGATAGAAAAAAAAATTAAAATTGTTTAGAAAACATTTTTATTTACAAATTTAGTTCTAAATCAGTATTATTGTTATAAATAAAAAAAATAATTTTAAAAATAAATTTAAATAAAAGGAATATTATTTAATAATATTTCAAATAAATTAAAGAATACATTTTTAAAATTGTATAAATTGTTTAAAAATTAATTTGAGAAGAAGAAAATATTATAAAAATTCTTAAAATTGAAATTGCAATCGTAGTAAACAAATTAAAAAAAAATCACTGAATTTGCGATGAAAAGAGATAGAAAAATATACTTGAAAACTAATTTACCAAAAGTTTTAGAGCATGTGTGTTCCAGAAGTAGAGAAAAACGATAATGATCGTAAAATTGCTCTAGGAGCTCGAACAAAACTTCCGGCAAATTGCAAAACTCGATTACTCCATCCACCTTCCTGGGATTGACGAATTAGTCGTTCCTTCAATTCGTTCAATTCAAATCTAAAATTTATAATTATTATCATTAATTAAATAATAATTGAATAAATTAATTAAATAAATCAGAATTTATTCAGTCAACTTAATTTGCTTTTAGAAAGTTTTTTATCGATAAACATAAAATAAATATGAGTGAAATAAAATAAATGAATATTTTATATAATAAAATAATTAAATATACCAGAATTTATTCAGTCAACTTATTTTGCTTTTAGAACATTTTTTATCGATAAAATAATTATTAGGTAGTAAAATAAAATAAATGAATAAACAAAATAAATAAAAAAATAAAATAATTTAAAAAATAAGATAAATAAAATAATTAAAGTAAATAAAATAAATTGAATAAATAAAGAATAAATAAATTATAATAATAATGTTAATTGATGTAGTGTTTCGACTTGCATTTGAGAATTAAAAGCAGTTTCCACCCTTCTTAGTGCAGCCTCCCGATCCGAAAGTTTATTTTCAAGTGCTGTTGCTACATTTTTGCTGAGTTTCAATTGCTCCTTTAATTTTTCGGCCTCTTCTTCTTTCTTCTTCAATTCTCTAAAAAAATTAAATTATGTTAAAACGAGGTAAAAAAACGATTATTGTAATTATGAATTATAATTTATATTATAAAGTTAGAAATTACACTAAAAAAACTGATTTTGGTTGCAAATCTGAAAAACATAATAAAAAGACTAAAAATGTCTCTAGACTAAAAAGTTTTAAATCAAATGAATTCTTGATTTCCAAAATTACTTGAAAGATAATTGTGCTTTCTCATCTGCAGACGTGACTAAGAGTTGCAATTCTTCGTTTCTTAACTTTTCGCTCTTCAGCTGCTCCTCGTTGACAGTAATCTGTAAAATGAAATGAATCAGTAAAGAACGAAAAATAGAAAAAAAGAAATTAAATTATAAATTAGTTAAAAAAATATACTTTATTAAATTAAATTTATTTATCAGAAAAAAATTCAATTTTTTATAGAAAAAATGTAAAATATATACAATTGGATGATAATAAATACGGTTTCTTTGTTGTTAATGATAAGAAAAAACAATGAAGAGTTCTCTATAGAAATTTGCCAAGAATATTGATTATTGTTAGGCAGAATAAATAAATAAATAAAACGGAAATGAATTTTATTATTCCAAGCAAAGTAGTTACAGGAGAAGCAGTTATGTGACATTGAGTCATCAGCGAAAAACTAGAGTGTGACTCACCCCTGTACTATGTATGCCCTCAGTCAGTACATTGACTTACCTACCATAATACATTGCCCTGTAATCCCCAACGAGAAGAAAATCTAAGATCAAAGTGATGCATTCATTTTAATTTGCAAAAATCAAAATAATCCCTTTCGCAATTTTTCAGAGAAACTTCCATTTTGTAATCATTAATTTTCTCAACTTCATCTTTTCTTTAACGAAATGAATTAAAATTAAATTCAATTCACTAACAATTAAATAGAATAACTGATATATAAAATAACTAATCGAAAAAATAACGAATAAATAAAATAATTAATCGAGAAAGTAACTAACAAATAAATTAACTAAGTCACGAAATAACTAATTCGGAAAATAATTAAATTCAGAAAATAAGTAATTCAGAAAATAACTAAATCAGAAAATAACTAATTAATAAAGTAACTACTAGAATAACAAAATAGAGTAAATTAAATAAATGGATTAAACAAAAGGCTTTTTAAGATAGACAAAAAATTTAATAAAAAACTGAAACGTAAATAATAAAAAAGAGAAAAATAATGTTTCTTCCTAATATTTAATAGGACGTTAATTTAAATATTCGCCAAAATCTCGCCCATATTTTTTGATAATCGAATTTTATGTAATACATGACGTTAAGAGGTGAATCATTAATTTCCTGGAACCACCCAAAGTTTTGTGCTAAACGCGAAGATAAGAAAACCACCCCCTAAACTCCAGTGAACTCTATATACACGTACAATCAACGCTGGCATGAGTCACACGATCAATTTTTACGATATATTCATTATAAGAAGACAATTTTCCTCTACAACTTTCAAGCAATCAGAATTCTCTCAATTACTAGAAAAATTATTAATAAAATTTTTAAAATTATAATTTTTATTATTATTATTATTATTAAAATAAAATTAATTAAAGAGAAAGTAATACAATTTAAAGAAGATTGAAAAGTAGAAAAAAAAAATTTAATTTAAAGAAAATAAAAAAAAAAATACTAAAAAAGTTATTGAAATTAATAACAAATGGTCAAAAATTAATTAATATTAATTAATTACCTTCTCTGACAGAATTTTCTTTTCTTCCCTTAATTTCAATATTTTTTCCCTATCACGAGTAATTTGACCGTCTAATGCCTCCAATTGACTTTTCAAACCAAATAATTGATTTCTTAAATTTTCCGTTGCTACTTTTTCCTGTTCTGATGAATCCAGCAATGACTGAACTTTTCCCTCGAGATTTTCTTTCTCCTGAAAAATTAAAAAATTTTAATAGGTAATATATTCCTTGAAAGAATTTTATTATTTTAAAAAATTAATAAATAAATAAATTAATTAATTAATAAATTCATCGAAAAAATTCAATTCATTTCAAAAGTTTTAATAAAATTCGTAGCAAGAATTAAATTATTTTTGATTCGAAATTATGAAAGTTAACAAAATTAGAAGTACTTTTTTAAACACAAATTTAAATTTTAAAATTCATTTAAAAAATTAAATTCATTTTAAAAGTTTGAATAAAATTCATAGCAAAAATTAAATTATTTTAGACTCGATTTTAAAATGAAATTATGATTTTTAATTCAAAACATTTTGGTTTAATTAATTTTTCTAATTTTTTCATTTTCAAAGCATTAAATTAAAATTAATTAATTAATTAGAATTCATTAATTTGAAAATTCAAAATATTTGAAAAAAAAGATTAGAAAATAAAAAGGGAAACAAAAAAAATAATTTAAAAAGCAAACAGACTAACGGTATACAGCGATTATTAATATAGATAATTTCAATTTTTCTACAAAAAAAAATGGAGAAAAATGATTGCAAAATGAAAGAAATTTGATTATTAGTTAGTTACACTTTCCATATTGAACTTTCTCTTTATGTAACCAATGGAAGTTTCGACCTTGTCTCAAATTATCAAGGTCGTAAAAAAATTAAAAAATACCTTCCCGGTCCCGTTATTTTTCATAGAATCGTAAAAGCATACTTTTTATGTTCCATATTATATATGTTTTATATTATGTTTCATATCATTTTATGTTATGTTTTAGATTTCTATCTAATATCTAATATTAATAGATATTAATTGATTCTAATATTAATAGATTTGTTAATTAGATAAAAAAATCTTTACCAATGTTAGAGCCTCTTTTTTTTGAACAACCTCATTTAATTGCAATTTCGCTTGATTGATTTCAATTGTAATTTTTCCAACACGATTATTTTCGGTTTCGAGTAATCGACGAAGAACGACAATTTGAATATGAAGATGATCGACTTGCTGATTCAATTGCTGCACATTTTCCTGAAGTTTAACAACTTCTTCTCGCCTTTTGCGCCATGCGTTCATAAGTAGCACACGACACACTAAACTCGCCGCTTTGTTTTCTTCCACTAATTGACAATCTATTCCTTTCGTTATTCCATATTCACTGCCAATTTCAATAACACCCAACATTTCAGCTTTTCGCTCTTCAATTTCTTCCCGCCGTGTCGAATTTGAATTGCTTTCTAACGATCTGCACAAATAAAATAATTAATAATAATTACTGTCAATTATTTAAAAAAAATTTACAACTTATTGAAAATAAATTAAAGAATTTCTTTTCTAAAATAAAATAATAAATTACCTTAGATCATCAAATTCTGGATCGTTGACACTTGGCGAAAGATCGACAAGCGAAATGCTTCTTTTACATCGAGGAGTAATTGGAATTCGCGATACTGGCGAGCATTTTAAATTGTCCGATAAAATTTTCGTTGTATTTGTCTTCATTAAATTAATTATTGGAATTGATGGTGCTTGCAATTTGTGAGAATTTTTCGCCGGACGATAAATCGGTCTCTTTTGACATCTTACTGGCAATTGTGAATATTGTAATCGTCGATTAACGCATTGAGTCACATTTCTCAATGTTGAATAAGATGTAAAATCTTCACGACTTTTGTGAAGATATTGCACTTCACTGATACTTTTTGAAGCTATCGTCGTTTCGGACATTCTGAAAAGAAACAATATATTTCAGAATTATTATTATTCTTGTTTTCATTAAGAACACACAAATGACAGAAAATTGTTTTCGCTTTTCAGTAACATTTGACGATTTAACAAATGACTGTCGAAATTTTTTAAATTTTCATTTTTCTCTAAACTGGTTTTTTATTTTTATTCCTATTTTTACTCCTTATTGCTTTTTTTAGAGGAAAAAAGAAGTCAAATTCGTAAAAAACGAAAAAATTGACAAAAAATGGAAAAATTTTTATAAAAAGCATAAAATGTAAAAAAAGCACAAAAAGAAAATAAAAAGTAAAAAAATGGAAGTTAAAATAAAAGAAATAATAGGAAAATAGTATTAAGAAAAGTTTCAAAGTCATAACAGTGACAAAACTTCAAGTTTTTAATTTATAAATAGAAGCAGAGCTCCTCTTCGCAAAACATTTGCTTTGATCACACTTTTCATTTCTTTTTTCAGTTAAAATACTCCAATAAAACTTTTACAGATTCATTCTATTAATTAAATTAAATTTACAGGGAAGAGTTTAATTTTTACGATAAAGTTTATTTTATTAAATTGTTAAATTTCTCGATTTTTACTAAATAAGTATTTAACAATAGAATAATTACCGTTTTAGATTAATTCTCAATTTTTCTATATTAAAATTTCCAGTTTCTTTAAAAAGAAATAATTAACTCCGGATCCAAAACGCCTTACAATAGGCAATCCATCATAAAGCTAAGTATTTAGAAATATTGTTAAATAAAAATTAATTTCCATTTATCAGGGTTGCCACAAAAAATTAATTTTCATTTTCCCTGACAAATTTTCATTTTTCTCTGATTTTTTCCTGAATTTTCTGATTTTCCTGACCTGTGGCAACACTGTTTCATTATTTTTGCAGTAAATTTAATATTTAATTTGTGAATAAAAATTGATTTTTATAAAAAAGAATCATTAAATACCAAGTTTTATACAAATTCGAAAAAATTAAAAATGGTATTTTTACAATAATTTATATAACAATTGCACAAATATTCAAAGGCTTAATTTATAAAAAAAAAATTGTTTAGATAAAGAAACATTTTTTTACGCTTTCTTCAAAAGTCTCTTTGTCTCTTTTAAAATCAATTTTGATTGTAAAATTGAAAGTGAAAGCATTTTAATAATTCCTCAAATTGTAAACAAACATATTGATAATATAAAAAAATATTTTTTGAAAAAAAACCTGAATTTCTTGTATGTAAATGATTTTGAATTCTCATTCTCGTAGTTCTTACCAACGGGAGTAAATAAAATGAATGTAAACTGATAAAATAATGTGGACATGAGAATCATAAGTGTCCACGTGAAGAGCGCTGGAAAACACAATTTATCTTTTCCTCTATAGCTGAAGGTCAATGGTAATTTGCATAATTTGTTAAAGTCTGCTTAGACTTCTATATTCTATACCATTTTAAAAACGAGAGAAAGTCAACAATCGACGAGTGAGTCGCGTGCGCTGGTACTTTTATCGATTCTCATCTGCTGGCACGTGGAGCGAGCGTTTTTTGGCAGGGACCCTCAAAAACAAGTTCACGACTATAACCCGGATTCCAAGAAACATCGATGTTTTTAATTCTGAAACTTTACGATTCATGTTTTTCATGGACATGATAAAATTTTTACTATAGTTATACAATAAACGTTAACCTTCTCCCAGGTGATGATTATATGATTACAATTGTTTATGCCATATCATCAATTACATTACTATGTATAAATAATTTCAGTAAACTTTTAATTATTCCACATAATCTTTTTCTTCTTTAAATTGTTTTTTTTAAATAAAAATTCAAAGTTACGTTAATGTTTTTAAAGAGAATGTAGACATTTAAAAATGGTAAAATGTAAACATGTCTGACATTTAAATTCAGGCCCGACTTTAGAATTATTTGGGGCCCTGTGTTTTAAAATTTTGGGAAAAGTGTTGAAAAATAGAAAACATTTTTCTTTTTTTGTTTACAGTGCGGTTTGGCTTCATGTAAAATGCAAGTTTTTGTGCGGATCAAGTTCATTGTGTACGTTTGTTCGTAGAAAAGGAAATTTCAGTCACTTTGGACGATCTTTCTTATTGCCAAAAATAATTTCCACCAAGAGAGTGTATAAACGCACCAGTTGTTGAGAGTGAGTTTTTAACCTGATCGCGCTTGTGGAAGTTGCGTTTGCGCATCTTCAAATTTCTCTGGTGGTAACGGTGCGGTTTTGTTCGAGTTAGCAATTTATTCGCCAGTAAAACCTTATCTGGAGTTGTTTTTCTTCGAGACGCGGGTGAAAAACCCTAATGACATGAATCAATTTTAAAATAATAAGGTACTTTTTATTGTTTCTAAGGAGTATCTTCTTGAATAACAACAGCCATACGCTTCCAAGAAACTGTTTTTTTTAAGTGCGGAAAAAAACCCAAGTGCTCTTTAAAAATTATATACCTGCAGAAGTTTGGTGGGAATTTGGTTCAAATGTATTACACATGCGTTTGATCGTGAAAAACCACGTGTGCGAAAATGAATTACATTTTTTATAATTAATATCTAGAGAAAGTAAATTTTTGGAGCTTCCACGGAAGAATCTCATATACTGGATCTCAAGATGCAGGCAAGTCTCTTACATTGTCCTACGATAGTTTAATTATAGACCGAACAGGCCTAGGCTTTCCCAAAATAATTATTGGATCACCATTCACCCCTCGTTACTTCTCTTTTGCCCTTGTGTGTTTTGATCTAGACATTATTATCCCTTTAAATTATAAATTTTACCATCTGGTCTTTCATAACCTACAATTTTCAATTATTGTCACTTTATTGTTGCTCTTCATCTTCAACAATTCTGCTTTATTTCCTGTTTTTTATTTTGTTCTCCATTTCTTCCATTGTTTGCAATTTGTACAAACTTTACTTATTTTCCTTTTTAAAAAAAATTTCAATTTGTTTCCTAATTATTTATTTGATTCTACTCTATTTTTAAAAAATATTATTTCTAAATTTTAAGTGTATATTATTTTTACTTATTTGAATATAAACGTGAATTTTAATAAAAAAAATAAAAATAATGAAATAAATAAATTACAAAATTTATAAAGTACCTATTGAATATCTTTAAATAAACAATAGTTGGAAATAGATTTTTATAACAAAATTTTGTATTTGTTGAAATCGAACCAGTTGTTTTATTTAAATTAATATTTGTTTACAAGTAAGGTATTTGACAAAAGAGACAAATTTTGTTAATACGTAGATGTTTAATTTTCAAAAAAATGTCTTAAATAATTAGTAATTCATTCACTAATGACTTTCGAAAATGATACACATACTTAATGGAAATATAATATGCGTTACGTTAAATCTAAGTAAAATATAATTTTAACGTTTGAAAAATATTTCTTAAATCGAAAAGTAATTTTAAAATTTATCAACATTATAATTAATCTAAACAATAGAAATTTGACTGTAAACTGTTATCAGTGCATAAATCTTGATTGTACATAGAATGAATACAAACTGATATTTTTAACTTTTTTTTACTATTTATTTACTTTTTAAAATTTAGATATACATTAAACAAACAATATTCGTGAATAATTAAACATTGTCTGTGTTTATAAAGATATTTCTTTCGTCAAAAAATCTTATTTTACTTTGCCTTTCATTTTATACATTTTTGTTTTCTAGAGATGAATATTGAGAAATGTTCCAGGCTGGACCGTAATCAAGATTCCATTGAGTGAAAATATTCGAAAAACTATGGACGAGTTTAGTGGGATTAGTGACGAAAAACTACATATTAGTGACGTTAGTAAGTAAATTTTGTTAAAAATTACAAACATGTTTTTTTGCAAATTAAAGAATGTAATAATTAAAAAAAGAATTTTTACATTCTCATAAAAAATGAGGTCTTGTTTAATTTGAATTTAAAAAAATAATACCTTCCAATGGAATTAAAAATATATATGAAATGGTAAAAAGTGAAATTTGTTAATAATAATTTGTTAATAAATTTGTTTATTATAGTTGAAGTGATTCAAAACGATGAAATTGGCGGACAATTAGATGACGATATGCATGTTGAAATGGAGGACGATAATCAAGGAAGTGCATTTTCACCAATTGTGGGACATCATTTACAAAACGAGAGTCCTCGTCCTTATATTGAAATTTTAGAGCAACCAGCCAGTGGAATTCGATTTCGTTATGAAATCGAGGGACGTTCTGCAGGAAGTATTCCTGGTGAAAATAGTCGACCAGATTTGAAAACATATCCCACTATTCGAGTGAGTTGATTCAGAAAAAAAGAAAGTTAAAAATTAATTTTTTACTCAAGCTTTATTTTACTGGAAGAGAAAAGAAAACTCTTTTATTGAAAATTGATTTTTAAAACGTAAATGCAATAAATTTTTGCATTTTATGACTTTTATTGTGTTTGCAATAAATAATAAAAATTTTACAGAAATTCAACTATTTACAAATTTTTTTTTAAATTTCTTGGCAGTAATTTAATTATTTTCATAAATAATAACATTTTTTACAGAGATTCAATTATTTTCGTGAATAATAAAACTCATGGAATTTCAATTATTTTTATTACAATTTTAACCAAATTCCTCGAAAAATGTAATTATTCTTTAAAGTTTTATTAAAATTTGTCGAAAAACTTCAATTATTTAAAAGTTTGATGATAAAATTCTTTATGAGAATAATTTACACTTAGAGAAATTTGTAAATAAATGTAATAGAACATTTTTTTGAGTATCTAATCATTTTTAGAGCAAATTAGAATGTTCCTCAGGGAAAAAGTCAAAATTTTGTCTGGAAATCAGGGAAACGTCATGGAAAAACAAAATTAATTTCTTGTGGCAACCCTGTTATTAAACTTTACTGAAAATGTTTATTTTAATAAGTAATTAAAATTGAATTAATAATTAAAATTAAATTAATAATAGAGGAGAGTGTTTCTAATTAATTAATAAGTTCTTCAAAGTACTAAATTATTGAAAATATTTTTCCAAACAGGTAGTGGGATACACGGGAAAGATGATGATTGTCGTTTCCTGTGTAACTGTCGAGGACAATCCGAATAATAGGCCGAAAGCTCATCCCCATAAATTGGTTGGCAGAGCAGAGAGTTGTAAAAATGGTGTTTGTCGAGTACGATTGAGAGGCGATAATATGACAGTTTCGTTTCCCAATCTTGGCATTCAGTGCGTGAGACGAAAGGACGTTGAGGCATCATTGAGCGAACGACAAAGAGAGAGAGTCGATCCTTTTGGCGGTATTTTCTTTATTATCATTTTCAAAGTAAAATTTAATAGCCAGTGTTAAAAATTCAAATTCATTTTCAAAAAATCTAATTTCTCTTAAAGCTGGATTCGAGCACAAAAGAAGTCACTCCAATATTGCTCTCAACGTTGTCAGATTGTGTTTTCAAGGCTTTATTCCAAGGAAAGCAACTGGAAAAATTGAATGGGATACACTCAATCCTGTCATTTCGAATCCAATTGTAGAGAAAAGTATGAAACATAATTCTTAGTATTTACAAAAATTGCTTTTTTTCTCTAAATGAAAAATTGATTTTCAGGGCTTGTTTTCATTTGAATCAAAGACATATTTTGTTACTTCTAGGTCTTAAAAATTTTTTTTTTCATTTTTTGCGTCAATGAAAACATTGATAACTTCAGTTTCATAACTGTCCGGATTTTGTAAATTTATATAAAGAAGATAAATTAAAAATTTTTTATTTGATTCAGTGGAAGCATGCAGAAATTAATTTTCAATATTTTAAACAATTAAAAGTTGCATTTGAATAAAAATTACAATTTTCTGTCAATAAGAAACATTTTAGACAACAATGAAGATTGTTTTGAAAACAATGAAGAAAATATGTTTATAATGAAAATTTTTGACAGAGGCTACGTGTACACTTTCTATTCACAAACTAAGTCATTATTCAGCATCAGTCGCGGGTGGAATGGAAATGATTTTACTTTGTGACAAAGTGCCGAGGGATGATATTCAAATTCGTTTCTATGAAGAGCGAGACGGTCGCGATTGGGAAGGATATGGAGATTTTCAGCCAGCGCACGTCCATCATCAAGTAAGAATTTATTTTTTTCTTTCAAAATTAATAAAATAAGATTTAATAATCTATGGGTGAAATAAATAATTCTTACATAATTTTGAATTAATGAATTACTAGAGTTATAATTATTTCCACAGTACGCAATATCGTTTCGAACACCAAAGTACGACAACATGGACATCACGGAACCAGTGAAAGTGAAAATTCAATTGAAATTGAAGAAAAAAGATCAGGGTGGTCCACCGTTGGATTTCGAAATGCTTCCATTAGGTACAGGTAGACCCGCGTTTTGGTCATTAAGAAAGTCTTTCGCCAAAAAGAAGAGCGACTACAGTGCCTTCGATAAATTACTCAGTGCCGATAATACCCTTTTATCTCACTTTAATCCAAAAATATCGCGCACCATCGACGAGTACAACAATAACGATCTTAATCTTAAGAAATCACAGGATAAATTCTCGGCACTTCGCGCCCTAAACGATCTCTATAACGTTCGCAATAATCTACAATCGCAAAATTTAAAATTAAATCTAAAATCCCCCGACAATGATTTAGAAAACAGTAGTGTAGAACCGAAAAATGATTCCATTGTCGATAATTCAAATTTCGAGACAAATGAATCTTGGCTCAATAATTCCGACATTGGCAAATGGGTGGAGAAAAGTCAAGAATTCCAAAAAGACGAGACAATAATTATCGACAATGAGAACATTAAATCGAACGACGATCGCGCTCTCAATGAACTATTATCGCAAGTCGCTGAATTAGATCAAATTTACGCCGATACACACACAAAATTACAAACTAACGATTCAAATCCAAGTGAAATTGAAATTCGTGACAATATGACATACACGAGCTTACAAATGGCAATGAAAAATCCAATAGAGCTGGAATTTAATTTTAACGACGAGGAGGAGAAACGTAATTATGACGATGTGCCCATCTGCAGTCCAATTATTGCCATAAGTCCCAATAAACGAGACGTGATAAATGATATCGATGAACGTTTACCGCCCCTGCCGCCGAAACGCATTCGAAAAACACCCTCAATGCCAGTTTTACCGGCGCGTTCATCTATGGACGTTGAGAGCGCATTTGGAGCTCCAAATAAAAATCTACCGTCCCCTCCTGGCATAACGCCAAAACAAGCAAAGCAGGGACTGTTCTCGAAGTTGTTTGCCAAAAGGCAGCAAAAAAAAGAGAAGGACACGTGTGCCGGGAGTCCAACGACTGGGAGCAATCGGTCGCTTAATATCACGGGTAGTATTACGTCCTTGAAGAACGATGAACTCGCGATGCATCAGCAGTTGCCACGGCCGAGTATGGCGAGTGTAACCAGTGTTAGATCGTTGAAATTAAACGGTGACGAATCGCCGCCTTATGGCATTGAATTGACAGAGGCTGAGAATTATGCTCTTTACACTGATATGGCACCACACGCGACTGCCTCTGAATTTGATGAATTATCCTTTTATTATTCACCGGTTGAGGGCGGGAAAATTTTCCCAAAGGAAACTTGAAATTTCACTCAGAGCTGGGCTTTGAGTTTTTAATTTTTCGACATTTTTTTTCTATTATGATTCATAATGAGAGTTTAATCAAAAACAAAATTTGAAGCAATTTGTAATTTGACAACTTTTACTGAATCATGAAATTTTAAATTTGTTGGTCCAAATTTTCAGAGAGCAGGCCTCGGATAGTTTGACTTTTTCTTACTATTTTCAAGAAATTAGACTTTTTTCCATATATATTGAAAAATGCGAATTTTTTTTCTAAATATTGCTGCAAAATGGAACTTTTCTGGTATAAAATACAAATTATTTTGATTTTTATTTTATTCTGCGAAAAATTTTATTACTTTTGAAATTTAATTTCTGCAATCATTTGTCATTTTTCTTCAAAATTTAATTTTTTTTTAGTGTTTTTAACTAAAATTCATTTTTAAATCAATTTTTATTTGAAAATTCTACGAGAATTGAATTATTTAAATACAAAAATAAGAAATTATTGATTACTTGAATGTTTCTTAAAATTGAATTCTCATAAAGAATTTTATCAACAAATTTTTAAATTTAAATAAAAATATTTAAAATAAATAAAGTGCTTCAATTGAATTTTTGAAAAATATAATTAAAGAATGTTTAAATAATTAAAATATTGTAAAATTTTTAATCAAAATAAGTGATTTTTTGGTATATTTTTAATAATTCAACTTAATGACTTTTAAATAAAAATCATGAGGAGTTAGTTATACGTATAATTATTAAAAAGAAAATTTGTAGGTATTTTAATAATTAAATTCTCGAAGAATTTTCGGAAAATTATTAAAAATACTCGATTTAAAGAAGAAATTTTGTTAAAAATTGCAGAAAATAATTAAATTTTGGAAGGATTACAGTTGTAATTTTTAGAAATAGTTCAATTTCAAAAGATTTGGAATTGATATTTAATTTATATTTATTTAATAAAAATAGTAAAATTCAGAATAATTGAGTTTAGAAATCATTGAAAGGTCCAGGAAATTAAAAATGAAATTTTTGTGACAATATTTAATAAAGTAAACTCGATATTCGACTTTTTTTTCGTATTTTTTAGCGACTAAAGCTACATTTTTTGTGTCTCAAAGTCGATCCGAGGCCTGAAAATTCAATTCACTGTTTAGAAATTAATTTTGGAAGAAATTAGTTTTTTATAAATTGCAGCTAGAAATTGGACCTTTGAAATAATTTCGCTTGTTTGCATTTATTGTTTTCTATTATTTTAGGAAATTAATATTTCATTGTTTGTTTGTTTGTTTGTATTATTTATATAAATTTATATTTAACTTGTGTTATATTTTTTTGTTTCAATTTTTTATGTTATTTGTAGAAATGTGCCAGAAGAAAATATTTGCTTTTAATTTCTCGCTATTTTCCGTTAAAACTAAAGAAATTGTTTTTTATTTTATTTTTTTTACGAACTAACGAATAAATTAAAAATAATTTTTCGTGAAAAAATAGAATTTTTTAATGACTGTTAAATGATTAATTAGAGAGTTATTAAGTTTGCTGAGTACTGTGATATTTATGACAAGAAAATTTTTTTATTGATATTTTAAATGTACCTATTTTTAATAATTTTTCACTTTTATTTTCTTTTTTTGTTTGTTTATTCGATTGTTTATATTTTGAAAGAGGATATTCTTTGTTTTAGTAATTTGGTGATTAGTCATTATTGCTTTAAATAAAGACTATTAATTTTTTTTAAAATTATAATTCCTTATCTAATTGCTAATATCTTTGAAAAAAAAGAAAACATATGTTTAAATTACAAATTGCTCATGTTAAGAAATTAGATATTTTATGAAAAAAACGCCCAACTCTGACTCATTGCGAATAGTTTGATACGTTTTATTAAAAACAATATTTAATCAACTTTTCTTGTTGATTGAGCATGTCAATTTTGCCTCTTTCTCCTTTTTTTTATAATCGTGTTTTTGCAGTGCCTCTGAGCTGTTTTTACTCGTTTTATAAAGCGTTATATTTTATCTAAACGTTTGTTGTGTTTTAAAGAGTCATTCTTGATCTAGTCAACTAGTTTTTTTTTATTTTTAATGACTGCATTCTTCCATATTCAAATATCAACTTTTCTTTAAATTAAACTTTGTTTTTTAATTTAAAAAATTATTTAAAATAAATTAATTCTGGCTTTGAGTTAAAATTAATTCATGAGCATTTTCTTTAAATACAAGTAAATTTATTTTCTACAATTATTTTAAATTTGTTAATTAGTTGATAATTTTTAATATTTAAGTTCTATCAAATTTTGCTACTTTCTAGTCAATTTTCATGATTTTTTTTATTTTTTAATAAAAAAATCTTTAATGACTCGATTATTATAAGTACACAATTGAAAATAAATTAGAAATAATTACTTGTATTTTCGAAAAGAAAAAAGCAGTCTATTAGAGAAAAAAGGATTTATTGTGTTAAGTTTTCTTATATTTACTTAAGTTCCTCTTAATTATTAATTAAGTTTATGCGATTCAAGAGTGAGCTTTTCGAAAATATTCGTAAATGCGTAATTGTAAAAAATTTCACGTATTTATTTCTTTTCTTAAAAATAATTTTTTTTTTTGAAAGGATAATTTTCGAAATGAGCGTTTAAATCAAAATCGATTTTCGTGTTCTCAAAGAAATCCGAGGCCTTACGAAACTTTTTTAATGAAATACGTTTAATATTTTTTGTCTCTGCCTTTAGAAATAAATATTAATTATTAACTATTCATAGCTAATTTGGAGGCAATCTACAAAGTAAAGAGGAAAAGTCCCAGAGATTTTATGGCACTAAATAATGATAAACGTGAGTATTTTGTATAACAAAGAAAAGAAAAATTTCGCTTATGGGAAAAGGCTATCGATTTTATAACATATTTCTTTAATCATTATTCATTTTCTAATAATATTTGGTGTGAAGAAGATAATTTTTTAATTCAGAAAGAATTATTTTTTTAAATAGAATTTTTTAAATTCATTCGCTAATTATAAATTATTTTCATTATTTAGCGATTAAATTTATTAAAATCGTTCTTATTATTAAAAAAAAATCTTGAAAGTAAACAGTCTGTGATTGTTAAAAAGGTTTATTGTTAATAGTTATTGAAATACTCTATAACAATTGTCTATTTTTCCTCAAATATTTTACAAAATGGAAAAGAACAATACTTTTTCAAATCATATAATACTCAAGACCAGTGAAATCAAAAATTTCAATCTGGTTCTATTTTCTTGAAATTTTTTGTAAAAAAAAAGTATCAACGATGAATTTGTATTTTGTACTTTTCTATGACTGCATTTCTTCTTGTAAAGGTATAATAACTTATACCTAATTTGTAATTTGTATTTTTAAAGAAAAATACTGATATAGAAATTCCATGGAAAATTGTATGTTTCAAGGATATTTCTAATAAATGGGAAATCATCTTCCTTCATTTATATTTTTGTAAATGTAAAAATTGGAAGAATGATTTATTTTTAAGGGAAAAATTGTTTCTCCCTCAATTGTCTGTAGAGAAAGGGTTTCTTCTTTTCTTCTTCTTTTTTCTTCGTAATTTTAACAACGAAAGAAAAACTCTCACTGGAAAATTGCTTTGGAAATATAAAAAAAAATTTCCCTGTTTTATTAAATCTGAAAAAATATATAAACGATGAAATGATGTGCAATACTTTTATGAAAATTGTTTTCCTTTTTTTAATGCAAAACGTTATTATTATATATTGAAAAATTGTATCAAGACGTAATATATATTATCTCTATATATAAAAAAAAAGTCTTTTGGTGATTCATTTACGCAAATTGGTCCCAAATTTTCAGACGAAAAATATTCAGATTTTCAGGTAAAGTGAAAATTTGTCGATGTTTGGATTTAATTTTCTGTTTTTATTTTCACTTTGAGCTTGTTTTTTCATTTTTAATCGCCAAGTAATATTTTTCTCTTTCGTTTTTGAAAATATATTTTTTTAATTCATTTTCCTAGAGTGGTATCCAGTAGAGAGAGAATTAATTTTGATTGCATGATTTATTCTTTATTGTTGCATGATTTTTACGAGGTGTTTTCATTTTTTCTGTTTATTTATTACTGTTGTTCTTTTATTATTACTAGTTTTATTTTATTATTAATGGTTTTAATTTATTAATCATCTTTTTTTATTATCACCTTTTTTGTGATTTGTTAATAACGCTTGGGCTTGAAGTTTAATACGTTTTGTTGCATTTTACTAACTTTATTTTTAATTAACAGAATTTTGATTTTTGCTAATAATGAATGAATTTTTCAGGACCAAAGTTGCTTGATCCGGGCTTGCAGGATTTTATAAAACTGGAACCAGCACATTCGCCTTTTCAAACAATCAGAGAATCTGTGTCTCCAATTCCTGGTCCTTCTGGAATTCCATCTGCTACACATTCTCCAATTAATTTCCCTATGTACAAGTAAGAAACAAATTTTTCAATCTGTTTGAATTCAATTATTAGGAGTCCAAAACAAATTTAATATAATTGAATTTTCCCAGAATTTTTCACGAAACAAATTAATATAATTTTTTCTGTTTTAGTTTAAAAACATCTCCAGTGAATTCACCGCCAATGCAACAAGTTTACAACATTCCATTGACTAATTATAATTTTCCTCAAACAACGACGACGGACAATGATCCAGGATTGTACATTCCAGATTTTCAGACTCCTATTCAACAAGTAAATATTAGTCCTCTTGAAAATTCGACAGGAGTTCCTTTTTTAATGCCGAATCAATTAAGTAAGTTTTACTGTAAAATTTAATTTAATTAGAAATTGGAAAGAAAATAAAAAAAAATTTTTTAAATTAAATTAAATTTTAATTTTAATTCAAAAATTTTAATAATTCAAATTCTTCTGAAATTAGTTACATTTTTTAATATATATTTAATTAATCATTAAAAATAATAGATTTATAGAAGAATTTTAGTTAAAAATACTAAAAAAAAATATAGAAATTGAATTTTGGAGAAGTTACAAATGATTACAAAAATTCAATTATTTTTAAAAATTTCAATAAAATTTTTGGTATAATTTCAATTATTTTTAAAAATTTTCCTCAATTCAATTATTTTCAATACCTACTATTTTAATAAAATTTTCCAAAAAAATTCAATTATTTAAAAAGAATGTTTATAAAATTCTACGGAAACATTTAATTATTTCCGTAAATAATAAAAATTTTCCAGGAATTCAATTATTTACAAATTTTTTATAAATTTTTTAGCAATAATTCAATTATTTTTATAAATAGATAATAAAACTGTTCTCAGGAATTTAATTATTTTCATAAACAATAAAACTCATGGCAGGATTTTAATTATTTTTAATACAATTTTAATCGAATTTCTCGAAAAATATCATTATTCTTAAAAATTGTATTAAAATTCGTCAACAAAATTCAATCATTTAAAAATTTGTTGATAAAATTCTTTATGGAAATTCAATTGTAAGAAACATTCAATTATTTAATAAATTATTTATAGTAAAATTTTCGATAATTTTAGATTTTTAACCAAAGGGTGGAGACTATTAAATAAGTAAAGCGTTTTTGAAGAGCCCAAAAATAATGAAGCTGAATGCCATAAAAAAGAAGAAAAAATGTTGAATTTTAAGAAATTCGCGTTTTTTGAATTTTTGATAATTTTCGATTTTTTACCAAAGGGTGGAGATTATTAAATAAGTAAAGTGTTTTTGAAGAGCCCAAAAATAATGAAGCTAAATGTCATAAAAGAAAAGAAAAAAGTTCAGGGTTCCTACAGAATCTGGAAATCATGGAAATGGTATGGGATTTTTAAAAGGTTTCAGGAAATCAGGGAAATTTATAAATAAATGTATAGTAGAAAATTTTTTTGAGTGTCTAATAATTTTTAGAATGAATCAGAATATTCTTTAGGGTCAGGGAGAAAGTAAAAATTTTGCCTGGAAATCAGGGAAGAACAAAATTACTTTTTTGTGGCAACCCTGAAGAAAAAATATTCTATTTATAAAATTAAATATTTTTTAATTAAACTTATTTGTGAAATATTAATTTTCAGATTCGTTAAATAGAGACGGACCACGATTGCTGGATTTAGACAGTCAGCAATATGAAGATTCAGCAATGCATTTAGGAACGTCGGAACTTTTAAATCAATTGGTGGATGAGAGATTTTCCACCGAATTCGGCACTGGACTTCAAATAAATGTGACTGAAGTAAAAAAATAAATTTTTATTCTTTAAAAAATTTTATAACAAATAGAATATTAAATTAAATCATGATTCTACTAAATATTCAAAATTTGGGTTCAAAATTCAATGTTTGGGTTCTTTTTCTAAAAACCAATTTTCTATTTGTCTCGAAATAAATAATAATCAGTGTTTGAATTTTTTTTCCAGCCTCAACCTGAACAGCTCCATCCTACTGGAGAAGAATCAGAAAGTTTGTCGCGATTGGTTCGCGATATTCAGTCTCTAAACGAAATGGTGAAACCAAATCGTTTGGAATAATTTTTGATATTAACGCAGCAGTGAGAAGACTATAGATTAATTAATGAGTGCAATCGAAACGTTCATTACGAAGAGTTTTGATCAATATTGTTATATTGCACGTTAAAATTTCTTTAAGTTTAATTAATTTTTAATTAATTTAGTTAGTTTAATTTTTCGTTTCGTGTTTCTTTATAAATATAATTATTTTTTAAAATGTTTTTGTGATAAGAAGAAACGATAAATATTTTTACTTGATTTGAAATTTTGTCACTTTCGATATTAGAAGTTTTTACTGAAACATACTCAAAAAAATTTTGTTAAACAAAAATCACTTCATTAAACTTAAAAAATTAGTTATGATTTTATCGTTTGTTATTTTGTCAATATTGTAAATAGACTTGAGATTATAATACAGAAATTTTACAATTGTATCGAAAAAGGGAAGTTTAATTGTAAAAATGCTAAATTTCTGAGATTGAACGTTTCGAGTACAATTTTATAATTTTTCAATTCTCATTTATCGTAAGTAAATAACGAACAAATTTCTATTATAGTAAACTTGATTTATGGTGATTTCAATAGTCATTTAATTGTTAATTTTCAATTTCGTGAACTGAATTCAAACTGTTTTATTAGTCGCGATTTTCTACTCATCACGAATTTATTTCAATTTATTATTATCGTTTTATCATTTTATACATCTTATTCAGAAAGTATTTTTTTTAAAATATTATTTCGAAAATGATTAGATTTTTTAGTTTTTTATTCGATTACTTCATATGTTATATAGTTTTTAATTATTAGAATCTTAAGATCACAATTTTATCGTAATTGTTTAGAGAGGAAATTTTTTTTAAGTTATTTTTTTATATTTTCGACTTGTTTGTAAAAAAAGTAATCTCAAGATGTATTATATTTTATCTTCAAAGATATACAAATGTTATAAACAAATTGTACAATTATTATCAGTAAATAATAAGAGTTTTTTTGAGAGATATTTAAGTGATAATTTTAGAGATAAGGAATATTTTAGAAAGTTATAAAAGAATTCTTTATGAAAAATACAATTTTTACATTGTTTTAATTATCTTGATTAATTCTTTAATCTCGCAGATTCCTCTAGATATAAAATCATAAAATTGTTTTTTTAATTTTTTCAAAAACTGGCGCTATTTGTAAATCCGCCCAAATTTTACCGAAGTTGGCCGACTTATCACGAATTAAATTGACCGCCATCTTTGTTCTTCTCCCTTCGAGGTTCGGGCTGAGAGATAAAAAATAGTTGTTTTTTTCGAAAATTGTGCTACTTTTCAAAGTTATTTTAATAAATAACTTCTCGCCATGGGCGATAATAAATCTTTTTTGCATGAATGGTGCGGTAAATCCAACAAGGAACCGCAATTTGAAGTTCGTCCTACAGGTAATGACGCTATCAAAATTGCAATGTAAAAGATCTTGGTTGGAAAACAGTTTCTTTAATTACAATTAAAATACCGGTTTTTACAATGTAATGTTGTAAGAAATGAAACTAATCGCGTTAAATTCTATAAAAATAAGTCTATTTACATTCAAACATATTCCTTGAGATAAAGTCGCAAAAGGTGTAATATCGATTAATTACCTCACAAAATGGTGAATCGGCATTGAAATAGCAACATATTTTTACATTTAAAATTTACACATGAAGACAGCGATTGCTCCGAGTCGAAGACTCGGAGTGATCGATTTCTTCATGTTTTGAAAATGAAAATTGAATGAAAATTAAATTCTTTTAGGACCAAAGCATCGACAACGATTTCTATGCGAATTGCGAGTCGTTGGATTTGATTACGTCGGCGTTGGAAATTCAACAAACAAGAAAGATGCGCAGGGAAATGCTTCTCGTGATTTCATAAATTATCTAGTGCGACTTGGACACATTAATGCCCAGGATGTTCCCGCTGATTTTGGTTTACCGGCACCGACAGGAGCTGTTGAAGTTGCAAATTCAGGAGCAATTGCTCCAAGTCGACCCGTTTTTCAAGATGGCATGGGTCCTAATGATATCGGTCAGGCCTATCGTCCTTATCGTGAAGGTGGACAGGGAAATTACACGTACATGGACCGATTGGCCGATCAGAAGAGAGTTGAGGAAGCCGAGGATCTTGATATTAATGCCGGCATTCATGGAAATTGGACAATTGAGAATGCAAAATCGAAACTCCATCAATTTATGCAGGTCAATAAAATTAATGCCGATTACAAATACACACCAGTCGGACCCGATCACACCAGGTATTTATGCCTTTTTTTCTTTATTGTTTCTGTTTTTATCTCCAGTGTTTGTAAAATTAAAAATAAGTTCATTGAAAGATCAAATCTATTTTTTAACAAAAGAATTTTCCTAGATTACAGGCTTCGCACTCATTTACTAAAACCTACTGTTTACTACTTTTTTTAGTTTGAAAGCTACTTTTTGCTCCTTTTTTTATAATTAATTATTATCGAGTGCGAAGTCTGAGATTAGCAATTTTTTTCGTAAATAATGAAATTTCTTTCTAATTATTTAAGGAGACTACAAGATAATACTAAAGTACGCATGAATATTTCGTACTTGGTCCTATCTGAATTAATTTTAATTTTGATTGCTCTCGAAAAAGATTGCATTCAAATTTGTTGTCAAGTATTCTATTTCTTTCTGTTAAATATTCTCCTCTTTTAACGGAAAGACATTCTTTTGTTTTTTTTTTTATCGAATTATTGGAATTTCTGTTTTGCACAAATAGAATGAAATAGTTATTCCGTATTTTACGTTTAATATTTCCTTCATGGGGAAGGAAAAAGAAAAAAGTTTCCACCTCTGGAAAAAATCTTCGATGGAAACTGACGAGACCACTTTGGAGTACATTACAAATGTCAAAATTGAGAATTCTCTCTCTAAGACAATGTAAAATCAAAGCTTTTGTTGAAATCAGTCAATAATAGTTTTGGTATTGTCACTTGCAGAAGTATGAATCACATGGTGCTCCAATTTGGTCTCGGTTCATTCGAAGTGGTAAGTATGTTTCATTTTGGAGAATTTTTATTTTTTTCTACATGATTCTATTTTCAAGGGTAAAAAGAATTGTAATTTTTACCAGGAGTAAATTTGTTTTCTTACTTAAATTTTTAATTTTTTGTATACAGGAGCTTCAAGGCTGAAATGAGTTTCTATGTGAAGAAATTAGGAAGAAGTAAGTTTTTTCTTTTAGTGTGAAAACAGCCAAAGTTATTTTCTTCGTTTTTCCATATATTTTTTTTTATAAAACGAGTAATTGTATTTTTTGTTAAGATGTTGTTGCTCGAGAAACTGCATCCAATAAGCAGACAGCGTCAAAAAGCTGTGCCTTGTCGCTCGTACGACAACTCTATCATCTTGGTGTAATCGAAAGTTTCTCCGGATCATTGAAGAAGAACAAGGAAGCTGATCAAATGAAACCTTATCCGGTGAAAATTAGTCCTGAACTTGAACAAGAAATATTCCAAGTTTTAGAGGGTTTGGAGGTTCAACCTGTCGATGTTACTCAAGCACCTGTAAGTACTCTTTTTTCCCCATACAAAATGTACTTATGTTTTTTTTATTTTTTCAAAAAGTAGGTAACTACGAATTCGTGTACAAAACCTTTAATTTTTTCTACTTCTGACAATAATTAAATGTTATGAATGGAATGTTTTAGGCTCAAAAAACTGAATCTGGAGAAGGTGATAAACAATCAACGGGAATATCCCTTGTGACTGACAAGGTATTGGACGATTTTATTTCGAGTGTTCCGCAACCAGCCGGCGTTGTGAGTTGGTCGCCACCGCAACAAAATTGGAATCCATGGACTGGTTGTAATATCGACGAGGGACCATTGGCGACAATGCCACTTGACAAATTATCCGACGACGTGATGCAAGACGAGAAACTGCGACACCAACAGGACGTTGATTTGCAAAGGAGTTGCAAGGACAGATGTTCACTGCCAGTTTATGCAAAACGAAGTGAAATTATGACAGCCATCAATGATAATCCCGTGATTATAATTCGTGGTAACACTGGTTGTGGTAAAACGACACAGGTCTGTCAATTTATTCTCGACGATTACATTCAGTCCGGACAGGGAGCTTATTGTTCGATTGCCGTCACACAACCAAGAAGAATATCAGCCGTATCGGTTGCTGATCGTGTGGCCGTTGAACGTTGCGAGAGTCTCGGACAATCTGTTGGTTATTCGGTGAGATTCGAGTCGATACTGCCAAGACCTTATGGAAGTATAATGTTCTGTACCGTTGGGGTTTTATTGAGAAAACTCGAGGGCGGCCTACGTGGCGTCTCGCACGTAATTGTTGACGAAATTCACGAACGTGATGTTAATTCCGACTTCATAATGGTCGTTCTCCGTGATATGGTTCACATGTATCCGGACCTGAGGATTATTCTCATGTCGGCCACGATCGACACAACACTCTTCAGTCAGTATTTCAACAATTGTCCAGTTATTGAAATTCCAGGACGAGCTTATCCAGTGCAAGAGTACTTTATGGAAGACTGCGTTCATTTGACGAAATTCGTGCCACCGATGGAATCGAGAAAGCGCAAGAGTCGTGACGCCGATGACGCGCCAACTGACGGCGAACCAGAGGAGAATCTCAATCAGGTGATCAGCGATGAGTATAGTAATCATACGAAAAATTCAATGGCACAAATGACTGAAAAGGAAATAAGTTTCGAATTAATTGAGGCGATTTTGAAATACATTCGTGATCAGAATGTACCCGGTGCTGTGTTGATCTTCCTGCCAGGGTGGAATCTTATATTTGCGCTCATGAAGCATTTACAGCAACATCCACTTTTTGGTGGTTGTGCCTACTGTATTATTCCTTTGCATTCGCAATTGCCGCGGGAGGATCAACGGAAGGTTTTCGAACCCGTACCACAGAGTGTGACGAAAATTATTCTCTCGACCAACATCGCGGAAACTTCAATTACTATTAATGATGTTGTTTACGTGATTGATTCGTGCAAGGCGAAAATGAAACTCTTCACGTCGCACAATAATATGACAAATTACGCTACAGTTTGGGCGAGTAAGACAAATCTCGAGCAGCGTAAAGGTCGAGCTGGTCGTGTCAAACCTGGTTTCTGCTTTCATCTTTGCTCGAAGGCACGATTTGAAAAATTGGACGAACACATGACTCCGGAGATGTTTAGAACTCCTTTACATGAATTGGCGTTGAGTATCAAATTGTTGAGATTGGGAAGTATTGGCCAATTTCTGTCCAAGGCTATCGAACCTCCTCCTATTGATGCTGTCATCGAGGCTGAAGTCATCCTCCGAGGTAAGAGAATTCTCTTTTCTTTTTATTGTAGGATAGAGTAAATTTAACCAGTTAACGGTTAACAAATATAATAATAAAAATAATAAAAATTCCACTTGCAGAAATGAAGTGTCTAGACAAAAATGACGAATTGACGCCACTTGGAAAAATATTGGCGCGCTTGCCGATTGAGCCCCGTTTGGGTAAGATGATGATTCTGGGATGTATGTTCCGTGTTGGCGACGCTCTCTCAACGATGGCTGCGAATAGCACGACTTTCCCGGAAGTTTACAATATGGGTCCGGACACGAAACGTTTGTCATATCAACAAAAGGCATTCGCTGGAGCTAGATACAGTGATCACGTTGCCATGTTGCACGCTTTCGAAACGTGGGAAGAGGTGAGAGACGGTGGAGAATTTGCCGAGCAGACATTTTGCGAATCGAAGAATTTGAGTCTCCCTACGTTGAGAGTCACATGGGAAGCTAAAGTAAGTTTTTAAACTGCAATCACAAAGTATATTCTTCTTGCAAAGCGGCACAATTGTTAAAAAATTGAAGTAGACATTACAGGGCTCGTTTTTTTTTTAAAAAAAAAGGGTCTTCTAATATATATTTAATTGAAGAATTTACGAATAATTGAAATTTTGTAAAATTGATTAATTGTAAGCAAATAGACAACAAATGGATTTGAAAATTCTCAAAGAACTTTTTCGAAAATTATTAAAGATACCTAATTGATTTGAATTTAAGTTAAAAATTCTAGAAAATAATAATTAAATTGAGATGATGAAAATAATTTTGAAGAAGTTACAGTAACAATATTCTCTTACAATATAAAATAATTATTTCGAGCCCTGAAATTATAATTGAGAACTTATTTTACAGAATCAATTGCAAGCGCTTTTGACGAGTGCAGGATTTCCCGAAGAGACACTCTGCCGAACTCCATTAAATTATCAAGCTGGAGCCGACGTCCGATTGGATACGATCACTGCATTACTTTGCATGGGACTTTATCCAAATGTTTGTTTCCATAAGGAGAAGAGGAAAGTTTTAACCACCGAATCCAAAGCCGCATTAATTCATAAAACATCAGTGAATTGCAGTAATTTCGAGCAGAATTTCCCATTCCCATTCTTCGTTTTTGGAGAGAAGGTAACGTGTCAAATTCTTTCTTTTTTCATAAATAAAAATTATTAACGAATTTTCGAATCGTTTTAAAATTCTCATGCGATTTGTCTCCTTCTTTCAGATTCGAACACGAGCCGTGTCCTGTAAACAAATGACAATGGTTTCGCCAATTCATTTACTGTTGTTCGGCTCGAGGAAGGTCGAGTACATCGATGGGGTTGTCAGATTGGACAACTGGATTAATTTGGAAATGGAACCGAAAACGGCGGCTGCGATTGTTGCACTACGACCTGCGCTCGAAAGTTTAGTGATCAGAGCTGCGAAGGATCCGGAAACTGTTCTTGAATTGAGTCCCGTCGAGGAGAAGGTGTTCACGGTGATTAAAAGTCTTTGTGGAATGAATGCCTGTCGTCATGAAATGGAAGCGATTACCGGTGGTGGATTCCAGTCGAGAAGACCACCAAAGGGACACATCACAGGTTTTTCTGCTGGCGGTGGACCACCGGCGAAAATGGCACGAAGTGACAATTATGATAATGACAGTAATGGAAGTAGCGGTGGAGGACGAGGAGGATACAGAGGAAATCGAGGATATGGTGGAGGAAATCGAGGCTTCGGAGGAGGAAGTCGTGGATTCGGTGGAGGCCGAGGTTTCGGAGGTGGTAGTCGTGGCTTCGGCGGAGGCTGGGGCAGTAGAGGAAGATCGAATTTTTAGACTTGAAATTGTATTTGTAATCGCATTTTTATACTCTTAACTATTTAATTATAAAAGTCAGTTTATACTTTAGTGTAATCACTTTACACTTTATTGCTCGCTTTATTGTTAGTCACTTTACACAATAGTGCAATTCATGATTTCAAATTTTGAAATTATTCACGATTATTTCATTTGAAATACGATCTAGTATGTTTTATTATTTACTTCTACGTTGCTATTTGTAAAGTGTAAAGGTAAACTTGTAATTATCCGGTTCATAGGTCTACAAATCAAAAAAATTGATTTGAATTTTAAAATTAGATTGAATAACGTAATTTTTGTTTTTTGTCAGCAAAAATAAAAATGATTACATTTGTTTCTTTATTAAATAATAAACACTTAACTAAACTACATTTAATTGTGTTTTATTTTCCAGGGTGTCTACTAACCGGGAATAAGCCAGGAATTTTTTCACGAAATTAAAAAAAGTTTTATTATTTTAATTTATTTTTAAATATTCGAAATCAAATAAATTTAAATTTTGCTGAAGAAAAAACCCGGGAATTTTGTTGAACGAAAATAGTAGACCGATATTGAATTTAAAAATGTATTGATTTCTGAACAGTAAAATAAAAAAAGACTTAAAAATAAATAAATCTAAACTTGGAATCACAAGTGGAATTTTGTTTCAAATTTAGCAGGACTAGATACCAAAGAATTCTTTTTTTAATGAAAAAATAAAAAGTTCAGTGTCAACTATTTGAATTGGGCGTAACGGTGCCAAGTCCAGTTGATACAGTAGAAAACAACTTTAACGATAAAACAAGGACGAAAATAAGTGTACGCACATACACACGTAAATATTCTCGTCATCGGCAACCTGGTTCGATCGGATGTGCCAAAGCCAAGATCTAACGGGAGACAAAGACAGAAATGATTTTTTGTGTTTGTCTGCGATGGACCTATTTATATGAACAAATGTCGCAAAGTGTTTAAAACGGAGTAAGTATGGCGGTGAAACGTCTATAGACGACAGTAGTTTATTGTGACCTTTTTTATTTCTAACAAATGTCTGGCGAGACTAATTTTTCATTCTCTCTTGTGAATTTCTAGTCAAGTCCATTGTGGGTTTAAACACGTCGCATGAGTGAATTTTGTGCTTATTGAAAAGGAAACAAGGGAGTGAAGAAGAAAATTCTTTTTTTTTGAAAGAATATAATACAATACATAGAAAGAAGGAGAAAAAGAGAGAGGGGAAAAAATTGTGTGTGAGATATTTGTATAGTTGCGAAACATCATAACAGCGGAAAACGAAGACACGTTTTACCAAATAGTGTTTCAAGAATGATTCTTCGTAGTTGATTTTGTGAATTGCAGCCAAATTCTGGATTAATAACTACGTTCAACACTGATTTTTCTTTAGTGTCCATGATGACTTGTCGTAATTCGTGAAACAAAATCCTTTTTATTAAAAATAGAAAACTTGCGCTTCGATATTTGGCCACAATGATGCAAGGTTAGGAGATTTGACAGTTGATCAATTTTTTTTCTCTCCTTTTTGGAGTAGGGTATGTCATATTTTTCATTGCTTAATAGTCCTTTCTTTTACAGGTAGAACAGATACTTTCATTTCAAAGCATTTATATTTTCTATATTGGAGAATTATATGCTTTTTTTGTATTATTAATTTGTTTCTGTAGTGTAAATGGAGAAAGGAGGACAAGTGTTCTCCTCGTAGAGCTTAATTGTTTTTGTTTCTTTAATAATATTTCAGTATTATGCCTTTTTCTTATTTCTCCGTTTTGGAATTCGTTTTTATTTTTCAATAATTAAGAATTTGAGAAAAAAAGGGACATTTTCGTAGTTCATTAAATATTAACCTTATGTTATAGTTGAAAAAAATCAATAGTGTTTACTTGAAGCAGTTTTATTTGAGGAAATTCATTTTATTGAGAATATAATTAGGTTTTTACATTCGTATTACATGAAATAGTGTTTGTTATGTTTTTCACTTAGTTTGATTTGTTTATTTCTTAATTGTTAATTATGTTTACATTATGTTAATTTTTGAAATTACATATTTTGCTTTTTTGTTTCTTAACTTTTTTTAATAATAATTCTTCTTTTTAAATAATTTCAATTTTAAAATTAATGTATTGAAAATCATTGAATTGTTGCAAAGAATTTTATCAACAAATTTGAGAATAATAGAATTCCTTCGAAGAATTTTATTATTTAAGAAAATAATTGAATTTTCGCGAGAATTTTGTTGAAATATTTGAAAATTCTAATTTAATTAAAACCAAGTTCTATGAAATAAAAGTGAAACTAATTAATAATGAATATTTTTTGTAGATCCTGCCCGGGTAAATTCATTAAAAATGGATCAGGAAACAGTTTATGGAACTCATGAGGACAGTCATGTTGTTATGTCGGAGAAGGTTCAATCGTTGGCGGGCAGTATTTATCAAGAATTCGAGAGAATGATTGCCCGTTACGATGAAGATGTTGTCAAAGAACTGATGCCTTTGCTAGTCAATGTTTTAGAATGTTTGGATATTGCGTACACGGAAAATCAAGAGCACGAAGTAGAATTAGAATTACTACGCGAGGATAATGAACAGCTTGTCACGCAATATGAAAGGGAGAAACAACTCAGAAAAACTTCCGATCAAGTTAGTTTAATGATTTTTTTATTTCTTTATCTGTAAATGAATAAATTCCGCATTTTCTTTTATTTTTACTATATTTTTCTTTATTTGTAATATTTTTTTGTTTTTCAGAAACTTTTGGAACTCGAAGATGTGGCCGAGGATGAGAGAAAGGAGTTGTTGTCAAAAATCGATAGTCTCGAATCAATTGTTAGAATGTTGGAACTTAAGACGAAGAATTCCAACGACCATGGTACCGCCAGTTCCTCTTTTACACCATCTCCTTACAGTAGAGTTGATTATTTTGAGTTTTTTTGTTTAAATTTATGATTTTGGTTTGTTACGGGATTTTGTTTGCATAGCAAATGAATTGTGTTTGTTTCAATTATTCAAACTTGGGACTTATGGTTTTTCTTTCAGGTCTTATTTTTTTTAGTTTCAAATTTTGTTTCTTTATATCCTTTTAGCTTCCCCCGCACTTTCCATTGCAAAAAATCATTCATTTATCAAAATTGGAAATTTAAGTTCAGTTTTATAATTCATGCTTTTGATCCTTGTGTTACTTGGAAAATATTTGACTTTTTAAAATCATGTGGTAAGAAATTTTTCATTTGCAGTCGTCAGGCTGGAGGAGAAGGAGGCCGAGTTGAAACGAGAATATTCTCGGTTGCACGACCGATACACGGAATTATTTAAGACACATGTGGATTATATGGAGAGAACAAAAATGCTGGTAGGCAGTACGGAAAGACTGGAGAATGCAACCGGAGGCAGAGGTCCTGGTCGTTTACCATCATTAGGCTTAACGCAAATGTCCAGGAGTTCAGGGCCATTGAGTTATGGATTCCAAAGTCTCGAGGCCAGTATAAATGCCGAGGATATTCCCGAGGAAATTCCAAGTCACGTTACCAATTTAAAATCCGAAATGAGCGACAGCAGTAATGAAACGACAATAGAAACTTCTGACAAGAGCCAACTAACTGATCGTCCCGATCACGAGAATAAGACTACAATAGTTTCTAGACGTAAGTTTTTTTTTGACTTTATTACTTTATTTATTGATTTTATTAAATCGAAATTTTCAATTGTTTTAGATGAGAGTCCTGAAACTGAAGTGCCACCGCCAATTGTTACTCCGACTTCGCCGACGGTGGAGAAAATATCGTCGACTCCAAGTGGCCGAACTCGAACTGAAAGAGAGCAGCGTAGTGGAAATACTTTATATCAAGAACTCAGCTTTCAGGATGCTGACGCGCTTGGAGAAATGGACGAAGGTGCCGATATTACAGGTGAAATTTCACAAATTTATCAATTGCGCTAACCAAATTTTCAATGAGAATCAAAGTTTGAAATAAAACCAAAGAAATTTTTCACATGTAAATGTAATTCATAGACAAGTTTGTAATTTTACAGGAAGTTGGGTTCATCCTGGAGAATATGCGTCGTCAGGTGCGTTAATTGCCTTTCTTTCTTTAATATTGGGTTCTAAAAAAATAACTCGAAAAAATATTTCTAATATTTCAAATAGTTACCATATTTTTAAACGGGAAAATAAATATTAAAATAATTAAAATAATAAAGTAAATATTATTATTAAAAAAAAGTTATATATAAAAATAAGTTGAAACAAATATTTTTGTTAATATAAAATTTTAGTTTCCAATTATTATACATGTATATTGTAAATAAACAAATCTAATTATTAATTTTAAGAGACGAGGTCTTTTCTAATGCTTTAAAATTAATACATAAATTTTTAACAAATCTATACTTCTCTATTTTTTTCATTGTTTGTGCCATTGCTGTTGGTCCATTTACTTCAAAAACCTGATTGATGCATGATAACGAATAACCCACATGTGCAGTTAACGACAACTTCTTCGGTAAGAGTCTTAATTTGTGTCTCTGTCCGCTCTCCGCTTTAATGTGAAACTTTTTTTTTATTTATCTGTTCTCTGGGTTGCCACAAGTCAGGGAATTCAGGGAAATATGGGAAAAGTCAAGAATTTTTATTAAAAGTACTGGAAATAATTAAATTTGTATGAATCAGAGAAAAGTCAGGGAAAAACAAAATTAATTTTTTATGGCAACCCTGGTTCTCTATCCGCTTCAAAGCTTTATTTTTTAAGTTTACTACTATTAATAATAATAGTTTACGTATTGTAAATTGTAAATAAATTGTATAAGAAAAGTTCTAATTTTTAGAAATTAAAATACCTGGTCATACTAAATACAATTTTAATAAAATGACTATTGAGAATTATTATTTGTTGTAGGAATGGGCAAGGAAGTGGAGAATCTAATAATGGAGAATAACGAACTTCTAGCAACAAAGTATGAAAGAATTTTGAAAAAAATATATTTGTGTTGGATTATTAAATGAACTGTTATTTAATTATGTTGGTTTTTTCAGGAACGCTCTAAATATTGTGAAAGACGATTTAATCGTGAAAGTAGATGAACTTACAGGGTATGTGTGATTTTCTATGATTCAAAATTTGAAATGATTTTTAAGGATCAGAAAATAAAATTACATTCACTTTTTCCAGAGAGCAGGAAATACTTCGCGAAGAAATTCGAGCTCTTCAGCAGGCGAGAGATCGTTTGCGACAGAAGGTCGCGACTCTCGAGGACGAATTGAAAAAGACAAAAGAAGAGGCAGAGGCTGCGACCAAGGCTTCGAAGAGCGACGACGAGGAAGACGTTCCTCTCTCGCAGAGAAAGAGATTCACGAGGGTCGAAATGGCCAGGGTTCTTATGGAGCGAAATCAATATAAAGAACGTTTCATGGAACTGCAGGAGGCTGTGAGGTGGACCGAAATTATGAGAGCAAATAAAACCGATCCAGCGAGTATTTCAGGTGGAAAACAAACATTCTGGAGGTTGTACGTATCGCTCTATTATTTTTTATTTACTATCCAGTCTTTTATAAAGTAAAAAAAATTATTGAATTTCTTGCCTTTTTTCGTTTCAGTTTTAGTAATCTCTTCACAGGACCCGCAGATCGGGGATCCTTAGTGCGAGCTCCACACTCGTTACGCTACAGTGCACCAACAAATCAAGTGGTTCCGGCGACATCCTTGGACGCGATTCGTCGACGTACACTGAAAAATAAACAAGAATATCTTGATCAGGGAGACACCATGTGAGAAATCAAAAAACTTTATACATGTATATATTTGTAAAAAAGAGAACTTAGGTCACTATTTTATTTTAGGTTTGTCGCAAAAAGCTTTTTAGTCATTCTACTTTTAGACGAAAAACATTTCACAACTTTTACTCTCTTAATTGCTCTCATTCTTTTTTAATTTTTATTTTCAAATTTTAACACACGCTTGTGGCAAACTTTTGAAAAACGGATATTTTAATACGATTTTTATTTAAGCGTCACTATCAGAATTTTATTAGAATCATATTCAATGACTTATTAAATATTTGTCATTCTATATGGTAATTTTAATTATTTGTCATTGCATGACAAATTGGTTGATTATTTATTGGAGAAATTAGTCAAATGTTCCGTACTTGATGGTAAATTAATTAATTTTAATTTGGCTTTTAATGGATTTCAATTATTCGAAAGAATTTTATTATTAGCTATTAAAATATTAAATCGATTTAAATCTATTTATATTATTCAAGTAGAACGAATTATTCAAAATTAAGATCTATTTTTATAAAATGGATGAAAATTATACATTTTAATTATTATTAAAAAAGTTTTTTGAAAATTTAGGTTGTGGTTGAAATATTTTTAAAAAAATTTGAAAGATTATGATTCCTTATTCAGTTTTTTTTCTTTTTCAACTTCAATTAATATATTTTTATAAAGAATTAATTTTTTAGAGCAATTTGTTAATTAAATCTTTATCAAAGTTGATTAATTAGTATTTTATATTCAACTTGTAAAATTTTGAATTCAATCGCTAATTTTGCTTTTAAATGTGAAATTTTAGCCAAAACTAAAATTTTTACAAAAATATTGATAATTTCTTTGGAAATTATTTTTATAAAGTTTTATAAAATCAGTTTTTCAAAAGTAAAAAACTGTAAATATGACGCTTAGAAAATGAACTGCATGTTATGTTTATAGTGATAAATTTTGCCAAAAAGAAATTTTTAATTTACTCCTTTCGATTTCATTTGCTTTGCTAGAGAATATTTTTTTTCTACACTATTTACTTTTAACACTATTTTTCTATTACATTCTTTAATACGTTTATTTATTTATTTATTAAAAACACAATAAGTCATTAGTGACACAACAAATTTGAAAACAATTTAAAAAATTTACTTTCTGCTTTTCTCTCATTTGTAAATATTATTCATTCTGATTATAAATTGTTTTCTTATGATTTAGTAAATTGAAAGTAATTTTTCATTAGGTTATTTCCTTTATAAAATTTTTTGAAAATTTCAAAATGATTCTAAGTCATGAATTGCAGGGCAATTCGATAAATTGTTACCGCCTTTGTATGGACAATCAAAAAATTGTGATTTTATTGTGTACATAGGAGTTTGTATATTATTTTTGAAACGAGTATAAAATTATGATCTCTATTTATCGAGAAATAAACGAGATTTTAATTTAATTTGACTTTTATTTCAAGTGATTTTTAGATTTTTAGTTGTTCGCGACGCAGGATTTGTATTAATTTTGCGTTTTTGATAATAATCATATAGAATTGTTTTGTAGATAGTTATTTAACTTTATTACGTATTTTCTATTTTCTCCAGTTCATGAAAAAATAATTTCTCAAAAGTAATAATTTTTAGCCCTTTAAAAATATTTATCAAGGATGTTCTGATATTTTTTGGTTTCCAAAAAATTATTGTATACTTTTGGATTTAAAAAACGAAACTTTGTCCATTTGTTTAAAAATTGTAATAATACATTTTCTATTTTTTGCTTCATGTTTGCAATTATTTAATTTGATATTTGGTGTTGTGACGTTCAAAAAAGAAAGAAAAATTGATGAGTTTGGTGGTTTGTTCTTTTAGAAAGTAAAAATTCGTTTCTACTTTCTATGAGGAAAATAAAATTGATTAAAATTAATAGCAATACGAAGGGTAAGTGAACGAATGGAAATTCGTTTTTCGAGAAAAAAAACAAAAAGAAAATTGTAGAATAATAAAAAAATTGATTTATTCACAGGTCGTCGGAGAAGCTTGTGGCAAGACGAGCGAATGAACGAAAAGAACAATATCGACAAGTACGAGCTCACGTTCGTAAAGAGGATGGAAGATTACACGCTTACGGATGGAGTTTACCAGGTAAACCGAGTGCGCCCGCGAGACAACCGGTTCCCGTTCCTGTTTATTGCCGACCACTTCAGGAAACCGAGCCTGGAATGAAGGTGAATATCATTAATGAATCATTTTCAAAGTTGCCACAGGGTCAGGGAAAAAGTCAAAATTTTTTCTGGAAATCAGGGAAAAAGAAAATAGAATTTTTTTGGCAATCCTGATTTTTTCCCTTTGGAGAAATAATTTATTTATTGTAAATTTCGATTTATAGATATGGTGTGGAGCTGGAGTGAATTTAAGTGGCGGTAAAACGCGAGACGGCGGATCAATGGTGGGCGGAAGTGTATTTTACGCAGCCGAAGCACGTGAGAATAATAGCGTGGTGAAAGTCGAGGCCGAGGATGCGGTCGAGCATTTGGACAAGGAACTCCAGGAAAGTGAGCAACGTCGTCTCGAGGCCGAACGTCTCGAGCAACAATTGAGTTCGCACGTTTGGATTTGTACGTCAACGCAAAAAATGTCAAAAGTAACTGTGATAGATGCAAATAATCCGGCTGAAATACTCGAGGTCTTCAATGTATGCCAAAGTCATTTACTTTGTATTGCGAGTGTTCCGGGTGCCAAAGAAAGTGACTACGCTCAAGGTCCCAATGACGAGGTGATAGCTAATATAGTCATCGAAAATGATAAGACAAACAAAATTAATGACAATTCAACAACGTCAACATTAGACGATAATAGCAAGACTGAAACGGAACAAAAGGGAGCGGAAGTTAATGAGGTTGAAAAAAATTCATCGACCGAAGTGGAGAATAATGGTGAGACTGTTAATTTGGGGAAGGTTCAGTTTATCAAGAATGTCGGGGAAATTTCGCCAATTTGCGATGGCAATGGAAGTGAGAAGGAGACGACGAGTTTGGAGAATGATGATGATAATGGAACACCAATTGAAAAAATGTCCTCAATTCAACCGACGATGTGGCTCGGTGCTCAAAATGGAGCAATTTTTGTTCATTCGGCTGTTGCCAAGTGGCCCGTTTGTTTACACTCGGTGAAACTCAAAGACGCTGCTCTGGCTATCGTGTAAGTTTTACACACTTTTCTTACTTTTTAAGGAGACTTTGAGAAGAGATTTACTCACGTAGACAAAGAAGAAAAAAAATGACAGAACTTTGTTTTCAGACACGTTCAGGGTCGAGTGCTGGTGGCACTGGCAGACGGCACGGTCGCAATATTCCGAAGAGGACCAGACGGACAATGGGATCTAACCCAGTATCATGTGATAACTTTAGGCAATCCTCAACATTCCATTCGATGTATGGCGGCAGTATTAGGAAAAACAGTTTGGTGCGGTTACCAAAATAAAATCCACATTATCGATCCAATAACATTGACCCTAAAGGTAAATTACTCTTCATTTTTGATTCTCTTTTTTGTTTTTTTTGTTTTTAGTCTTTAATTCCTATTTTCGTGTATGAAAATTGATGATAGAGTGAAATATGTGAAATCGGTAGTGCACTTACAATTGCAGTGTTCCGTGGACGCACATCCTCGTCGGGAATCACAGGTTCGTCAATTAGCGTGGCTCGGTGAGGGTGTTTGGGTCAGTATTCGACTCGATTCAACATTGAGATTATATCATGCACACACCTATCAGCATCTTCAGGACGTTGATATTGAGCCGTATGTGAGCAAAATGCTCGGCACTGGGAAACTCGGATTTTCATTTGTTCGAATCACTGCCTTGCTTATTTCATCAAATCGACTCTGGATTGGAACCGGGAATGGAGTTATTATCTCTGTTCCACTTTCTGAAAGTAAATGACTTTTATACTTTTTATTTATTTACTTTCTATCTATTATTTTCTTTTCTTTTTTGGGAGCTTTTTTTGAAAATAATTTTATATCTTTTATACTAATTGTCGTTTAATTGTAATAAAGGCGCCGGTGGATCGATGGCGATTTCGAGAGCACAAGCAAGAGGAGGAAAAGGAGACGCTCCGGGAATTGGAGTTCGGGTATTTGCTTCTGATCATGGAGTGACTCCAGGAAGCTTCGTGCCTTACTGTAGTATGGCTCATGCTCAGCTCAGCTTTCATGGACATAGGGATGCTGTAAAAATGTTTGTCGCCGTTCCTGGTAAGATATAATTACAACATTATTAAATTTAAATTCATTTATATCACTGAATTTCTTTCTACAATTCAATCATTTTTTTTCTTGAGGTTCCCTTTTCTGCAGAATTAAGAATTTCCTCTTTAAGAAGAGAATTAAATAATTTTTAAATCAATTATTATTAGAAAATTCTACGAGAATGCAATTATTTAAATACAAAAATAAATAATTTATTAAATAATTGAATGTTTCTTAAAATTGAATTCTGATAATTCAGAAATTCCTAACAAGAATTTCATTATTTACAAAAATAATTAAATCCTTGTAAAAAATGGTATTATTTATGAAAATAATTACCTAAATATTTGCGTAGAATTTTATTAAAATTTTTTTTAAATAATTGAATTCTTTCGGCGAATTAAGATTCATTTTTAAGAATAATTACATTTATTGAGGAATTCGATTAAAATTGTAATGAAAATAATTGAAATTCTGCGATGAATTTAATTATTTATGGAAATACTTAATTGAATTCCTTAAAAAAATTTATTAAATTTTTTGGAGATCTTCAATTACTTTCAGAAATTTTAATAAAATTTTTCGTTAAATAATAAAAATATTTGCAGAAATGCAATTAATTTGAAACATATTAATAAAATTCTTCGCAAGAATTCAATTATTTTCATAAATATCAAATTTTTCACAGAAATTCAGATATTTTCAAATATTTCGATAAAACTTTTTCGCAGGAATTCAATTATTTTCAATACAATTTGAAAAAAAATTACTCCATAAGATTCAATTACTTTTGAAATTTTAATAAAATTCTTCGAAAGAATTCAATTATTCGTAAAAACTTTGAAACAATTCTATTTATAAGAATTAAATTATTTTCAATACATTTATAATTGAATTCCTTGAAAGGATTTAAAGTTTTTAAAAGAATTGAAATTTTGCTAAGAATTTTATTATTTGTGAAAATAATGGAATTAAAAAATGTTTTTAAATAATTGAATTCTTGTGAAGAATTTTTTTATTTATGAAAATAATTGAATGTTTGCGTAGAATTTTATCAAAACATTTTTTTTAAGTAATTGAATTCTTTTGGAAAATTTTATTAAAATAGTAGATATTGAAAATCATTAAATTGAGGTAAAATTTTGAAAATAATTGAACTTTTGCTTAGAAGTTTATTCAAATTTTTAAAAATAATTGAATTTTTGCTAACAAATTTATTAAAACTTTTAAAAATAATTGAATTTTGGAGAATAATTTTAGTTTTTATCAAGATAATTCTCATTTTGACGATAATTTAAAAAATGTTTGTACATAATTGAATTTATGCGAAGAAATTTCATTACTTTTGAAAATAATGGAATTTCTTCGAAGAAATTTTATTGCTTTTGAAGAAATGGAATTTCAAGCAGTAGCTATCAGTAATCAATAATAATAGCCGTCAATGAATAGCAATTAATTCGTTAATTTTTATTTAATTAAATAAACTTTTTTAGGTCACGGAGGTCACAGTGCGATCTCGGACGGTTCTATTCCAGCAATGCTAGTCTTATCCGGTGGGGAAGGTTACATTGATTTCAGAGTCGGTGAGTTAAAAAAAAGAAAACTTTATCATCACTTTTTTCACTTCTTTAATTAACTCTTCTAAATTTGATTTTTCTATCTTCGAATTTCATAGTAATATAATTAATAATTAATAATTTAATTAACATTCATAATTTTTTTTCTTTGAAATTTTTCCGTATAAATATAGGATAAGTTTTTTTTTTAAAAAGAATCCAGAATCTGTGTAAAATATTTTTTTGTTGAACGACGTTGCGATTGATGTATAATTTCAGCGGACGAAGCTGAGGACGAGAGCGACGTGGCAACACATCTGATTGTGTGGCAGATGGTCAGGTATGCCCCCAGAGAGTATGTAACGACGAACTCAAATAATTTCTTTCGAGTTCCAATTACAATTCTGTCATTCGCTTGAACAAAAATTATTTTTTCTTTAACTCTCCTAATGATTGATAAAAAAATAATATTCTTTTCATTGAATGTTTCGCTCGTGTCAAAACTAACAAAAATGCATCTTCAAATCGTAGTTAGACATATCTAACCATATTATTAAAACATATATACACACTTGTGAATGTACTATAAAAATTATTCTTGTGGTTCAATTTTATTGGCTGTCTGAACTTTGCCTTCAATTGTCTTTTAGAAGAATTGGCAATAATTAAAACTTTAGTCAATTTTTCTGTTTGAATAGTCAATTTAATTGGTGATGTTTTTTCGGGGTTAGCACTTTTTTTCAAGAAAAAGCAAAAAATATTTTAGTGGAATCGGAAAAAAATGTTTCCTTTTTTTCAATGTAAATAGACAACTTTTTATTATTTCCGGTATCGTGATCCAAATTTTTATCCTTCCACAATTTCCTTTTACTCTCTGGGGGTTGGACAGATGGAGAACATTTTTTTTCTTGAAATTAAATCGTCGGTTGCAGTAAACTATTTCATTGGAATATAATATTCATGTCATTTTTAAAAATAATAATAAAAAAAATATATTATAATAGATAGTAAAAATAGTAAAAGAAACTAAATAAATTTATAAACTTATTTATTTTTTTTACTATTTTCCCAATTCTCCTATTTTACATTCGTCTCATTTATAAACGAGAAATTAAATTTCATTAAATAAGGAAAGTTTTGGAACAATTATTTATTTATAATTTTGTTATTTTTTCTTATGGAAAAGATTATTTTTTTTTATAAATATTTCTGCAACTGACGATTAAAATTAACGGGATTTAAAAATAATTAGGAATTGTAAACTTGGGAAAAATTAATTTCGCTTTGAATGTAATTCACTAAATAATACAAAAAAAAAAGAAAAAGTTAAAACGTAAATACTGATTTAAAATTGTAAAAAAGAATTTCCTACAGAAAAAAACAGATTCCTAATATTTTTAACAACTTGCATTATTGTCTTGTACAAAAAAGGCTGAGGATCACTGCTCTGCATTTAATTAAAATACCCTTTCTTCATGACTTCAGTATTTATAAAACCATAAATCAAAATTTTCCTTAACAGGTGACGGCGATGAGGCAGAAGATGGAATCGAGCGTTCAAACGCATCAGCAATCTCAAGTTCCGAAGAGCAAAGTGAACAAAGTCATTTGATTGTCTGGCAGGTTCAATGTCCACCAATCATCACTTAAATCATTCGCATAATTTCATTTTCAAAAAAGGTGCCCGGCCTAGCAAATCATCAATCGAAGGAAAAAAAACAAAACGAAAAAAGAACTCTTATCGATTAATCAAGAAACAGAAAATTTAATCAAGAAAACAAAAGTGAAAAATAATAATTATTTTCACATTAATGTGAAAAAAAGAGAAGTATTTCTCTCTCAAAAAAGAAAGTCAGCTCGAAGAATTAAAAAATAATGCGAAATGCCGAGGTAAACGTAGTGTACAAAATTTTGTTATTTATTCTTTTTTAGAGAAAGAATTACAAGATTTTAGTCAATCTTCTTTTCTGTTAGAAACGATAATAGTCTTTTTTTCTATTATTTTCATTCCGGAAATGAATTTATTTACTTTTAGTCCACGAATTGCATAACAGAATCGTGTGTTCGATGAAATTTAGAAAAATTTATTAGATTTTTTAATTTAGATATTTATAATGTAAAAAAAATATTAATTATATAAATATATATATATTTGTTTATAATATGCTTACGTATCGAATGCTAGCCTAAGATTTATTGTAAATCGTTTTTAAAAACAGCAAATTAATAATTTATTCCTAAATCGTGTAAAAAGCACGTAACATATGTATTTTAAAATACGCCTATTGGGGTTGTGTGCAATTTTACGTTTCTTGAATGCGTCTTGAGAATTTTGAGTGAGTATTTAGGCGAATTCTTCATTTACAAAGGGAAATTTACGTATTTCTTTTTTTATAATAAAAAAATACCTTCTTTATAAAGAAGGTATATTCTGTTCTTTTAATTTTGGCGTCAATTTTGAGAATTAAGCTATTAGTGAACAATAAGCTTTTGTAAATATTGATAAGACGTCCATTTATTTAAAAATGTTATTTATTATTCGCCGTTGATTTTAAATGAAAAATTAACAACTCGGCGTCTGCACTTTTTTCTCTCTCCTAAATCTTCTACCAAAGATGAGGTTACAATATATTTGAAAATGCGTTTATATAAATATATTTAAAAAAAAAAATGTAGAATGGAATCGACTCTAGCGAATTTTATGTATATTTCATGTTTAACTCGGCTTTCAGTGTCGAACGCGGAATGTACCTGGCTCGCGTGGAGCTGCAACGGCATTAATAAAAAGTTATACAGGAAATCGTCAAAATTTTAATTTCTTTCCTCAAAAGGACAATGGAGTGATTAATTTTACTATTTTTCTCAGTAAAAAAAAAATTTGTTTTCGTATTGAGTTTCTTTATTTAAATTACAAAAACAAATTCAATATAAATCAAGTCCTAGTTGGTTAAAAAATAAATTCACGATTGTGGTTCACGAACTTTTCGGTAAGTTAACAATAGTCTACTTGTATTTGCGCTAAGTATTTGCTCCGAGCTTGCTAATAATTGAAGACATGAATTTGTCGGTACAAATTCTTCGGAATGATCCTCAGTGAATAATGGAAACCAACAGACAAGTCGTCCGTTTATTTTTAAATGTTTTGCGGAAAAATTCAGCAAGTCATGGAAAATTTCATTTAAATCGTAAACAACTTTTGACGGTATATGCGTTTCAACTTGATGCGCTTCAATTGTTGAGCCAGTTTTTGTGGAGCCGACACGTTCGGTTGATTCGCGAACACCATAAGGTGGATCGGTAATAATTGAGTCTAAACAAAGATTGTCGCGCCATAATTGACAGGAAAAATCGGCCACCACCACGTCAACGAAGTAAGAAGTTATTCCATATTGATTCATGTTGGCCGCGACATTCTCGTCAATGTCACGTGCTTTTTGCGATATTCGACTCGGCCTCGTGCGTCCGTGAAGCATTAAATAATCTATGTCAGTGCCTAGAGTGTAGCCTCCAAATTGTGAAGCCGCTATCAGGAGGGATCCAGTGCCAACGAAAGGATCCAGGACCAAATCTCCATTTTGTACTTGTGCTTGATTTGCCATCATCAACGATAATTGCGGATCCATTGATGTATTTCCTGTTGAAATTTGGTTCAATTAGTAAATCATTTTTAATTTCTTTAAACACAAAAAGTTTTGATTCTAAATTCTCAGGAGTAATTTCTAATATTAAATAAATAAAAGATATTTTGATTCCTATGTTTGGCCTAATGGCTTCAAAACATCTTTTATATAATTTTATGGCTTCCAAAAATATTCTAATATTAAAAATTCTTTTCTTCTTGAAGAGGTAATATTTTGCTGAAAACAGAGTTGCCACGCTTTCCCTTGATTTTCAGACAAAATTCTTACTTTTTTCTGACTCTAAAGAATATTCTGATTCAGTCTAAAAATTATTACTCAGAAAACTGTTCTATTACTTCTTTTTTAAATAAATATTTAATCATTAATATTTCTCCATAAGAATTAAAATTTTTCAAAACATTCAAATTCAAATATCTCAAATTTTTTGAAATTGAACAACTTATGCTAAACTTTAATTTCTTTTTCTTCTTGAAAAGATAAAATTATGCTGCAAAATAAAAACTTTATATTTAATAAAAAATTGAATTTACTATATTCTCCAACTCACCGGAAACAATAAAAACACTGGAAAGAAATAACTTTGAAAATTATTACAAACGTAAAATAAAAGAAAACAATTACGGGAAAAGAATAAAAAATAGTTAGTTACCTATAAATTTGCGTGTTTTGAGGGAAAATTTCTGAATGAGATCCCTCTGCCCATCGATAATCCACCTTCCAAAGAATAAATGAAAAGGCTTTTGGGGAATACAATTTGGATCCAAGCCATAATATTCAAAATAATATAGAGTTAATTCGGGATTATTTAATTTAACCGAACCCTCCAGTGGTAGATAATTAAACGATTCTATTTTGCCAACTTTGTCCTTCTGCGAGAAATGTTTACAAAATGTTTTGACATTAATTTTAAACGACAGATTACGAAAATTATCAATATTTTCATTAGTATAGGTTTTTAAACAACTGTGCAATGTCTCGAGATCCTTTGACATTGCCCAAAGTTCGAGGCAATAACGAAGTGAAACTGAACGACTGGCTATTTGATGGACAGGATTTACCGATGGCAATTCAACAATCCAGAATGGATGTTCTTTTGGTTTTAATATTGTTCTAAATGTTATTTTAAACATATCTAAAATAGATTCCATTTCAGCTATTCGAAAATCCACGTGTTCGTGCGCGAACCAAAATAAATATCTTTTCCACTTAGTATCCATTTTCTCCCACAATAAAAAATAATCACATACACTGGATATTATCAACTATTCACATAGACTAGATTCACTTCTTTTCTATTGTTGTTCTTTTGTTATTTAAATAATTAGAAAAACAATATTCAATTCTCTGTATTTACATCTTTTGTTTACAGAGAATTTGAGGTTATGTTCCTCATCCTTTTTTGACATATGATCGACATGCGTGCCAATTGAAAAATGAAAAATATAAAATCTCTCTAGAATTTTTCGCTGTAGTGTTGGTAGCATTGTTGTGAGAAGTTAGCATTTTCGGAAAGCTGACAAAAAGAAACAAAAAAAAGAAAAATAGCTCAAAAGGTAAATAAAGTGTTTAGTATATTTACTTGAAGGTAATTTGCTTATTTTTCACATTATATTTATTGTGTAATTATTCTAAATTATTCAGAATATTTTAAATACTTCAGGCTCCTTTAGCTTTAATGCTTTACTGTCACATTCCGGCTGCAATTTGATATTTGAAGGTTATGTTTTTTTGTTATTTTCGCATCGTTATTTTGAACTTTGAAAAAAGATTTTTGAGTTTTAATATTTAAAATTAAAAAGAAAAAAGAAATTGCCTAATTTTTTAATGGTATTACAGATGCGTATTCAATATAATAATATAATTACCAATGTTTATTAATATTTGTCGCAATTTTTTGCAAAAACATTTTCTTACTAAAAAGGGTAAAAAGTTCCATAAAAATGATACAAATTAAATAATATTATTTATTTCTTATTTAATATTCTCTTATTGTTTCTAAAAAATAAAACTTTCTATACACATATTTTAATTAATTAACAAAAGTAAACAAACAAATTTACAATCAGTTGTTTATTTTTTGGAAAATTAAAAAAAAAGTTGTTTTCGGAGGCCTCATGTTTTCACGATTTGGAAAGAAATTACATCATTTATATAATTATAGTAATTGAAAAACAATATTAAAATTAGAATATGAAACAAATATATGTGATACATAAATTTAGATAATATTTAGTCATTTAAAATTTCCTAGTAATGAAGAAATTTTAATTTTAATGAGAAAGGAAAACAACAGAATTTTCTCGAAAATAATGGACCTAAATATGTAGAGTAAACAGTAATTAAATAACAATTTAACGCTTCAAGTAATACCGCCTTCTCCCTACTTTAAAACATTGAGCCAATCATTGCTGACAGAATGTTTTAATGCATAAAAAGAAGAATTTTCTAGTTCTTTCGCTGATTTTGTCGCTGTTTGTCTTTCATGCAACTTTGTTCCATTCATTTGTTCTAGAGAAGAAGCGGTGCGCACAATTAAGAGATATTTAATCCTTTTGAAATTGATAAAATTGATTCGACTTCAAAAAATATCAATATGTCGAGGGATCAAGCAGCTGAACAACTTAATAAATACAAGAAATCCGTTCAGGTACTTTATTTATTTCTTTTAATTTCATTTCAATTTCATCTTCTACTTTTTTTTTAGGTTTCGAACCGGTTTAAAGTATTTTAAAAAAACTTTACAGAAAAATTTATTTTGTTTCTAAATATAATTTATTATTCATATAATTTTGATTTCTAGTTTATAAAATTTCGTTTTTGTATATTAATAATATAATAGTATTTTTTCTTAATATTAACAAAAAGGCAAAATAATAATGAATGAATTTCGTGTCTAGTTACCATTAAATATTAATTATATTGTTTGATTTTAATTTTGCAGTTCAATTATAATTATTTTTTAATAAAAGTAAAATTATAGTAATAAAATAATAATAATAATAATAATAATAAAAATAATAATAGTTATAATAATAATAAAATTTGAAATTATATTTCTCAAATTTACTGCAACTGGAAAAATGATAATTTGCCATGCAAAATATGTTTAATTATGAGATATTAATTCAAAAAATTTGTGTTTTATTTTTAGAAAATTTATTTAAAAAGAAAGCTTGAAATGTTTATCTTATCAAAAGTCTTTATTGTCCTCAGAGAAGCAACAGATAAATGTTATAATACATTCACTGTACATGAGTTATATTTACTCTTGAAAGTATATTTTCTACATTTTTCTCATATTAAATCAACGATATTTTTTCGCGAAAAATCTGCTCAAGTTAAAGTTTATTCAGAGAATATATAACCACACCTAGGATGTGACCTTCCCTCCAAACTGGACTTTTGACCCTCACGATATACATAACTTCTTTTAATACTCCCATCAATTTGAATTATGTATAATTCATTAGTTTTTCTAAAGAATAAAATAAATTTTTTATTTAATTACAAATTTCATAATTTTTTTTTACAATAGAATCGAAATTATTGACATAAAAAGTTTACAGAATTTTATATGTCTAATAAAAAGAAACCAATACGCAATTTAGTATTACGTTTTATTTTTATTAAAATTTTTCATAAATCTGAATTAACGCTGAGTCATTGGAGACTAATTAGCAATTGCAAATTTTTAAATTACTATTATCGAAGGACACTTTACATTTTTTTAAAAGTTATTCAAAAGAGTAAATAAATTATATAAAATTAGAAAAAAAGAATTAGAATTTTTAATAACGAAAATTAGAAATTTTTTATAATTAAAATATTGGGGAATTATTTCTTTTTTTTTGTGTAATATAATGCAACTATCTTATCTTTCTTGCGTTTTATATTCTTTCTACAAACAAACTTAATTGCTTTTAAAGATTAGGAATTAAATTATATATTATTAACTAGATGAGTTTACCTTTTTACCATTTGATAATTTAATCAATATATAAATTGTTGTTTTTAAAGAAAGTGGCGTGACTTTAGATAATTAGAGAATTATTATTGATATAATTTATTTTCATTTTTCACTGATAATTATCATAATAGAAATAATTTCAATTTCTTTTTTTTTTCACGTTATTGATTAATTTTCGCAATTTTTTTTACTCTTTGGATATTTTTTTTTTAAATTAACATAAAATGTTGACTAATGTCAACAATTTTTGTTGTTTATTTTATAAACTAATTGTTTGCATATAATATTAAAATAAATGTTTTCTTTTAAAGGGAGAAGCATGCACTCTCGTCGCCGGAAATGGAGCTCCAATTGGAAAGAAAACCGCCAGCCTCACGGTTGGTCCACGAGGGCCTTTACTTTTACAAGATTTTGTTTATTTAGATGAAATGTCTCATTTTGGCCGAGAAAGAATTCCCGAACGTGTAGTCCATGCAAAGGGAGCAGGTAATTTGATTCTTCAAATAATAATTATCCGAAACAAAGCTGCAAAGACAAAGGGAAAAATTAATTAAACTTATGTAATTTATCTTTTTACTATCAAAATTTAACTTTTAACAAAGAAGAAAGAAAACAATAATTAAAATGAAAATATAAATATACAAATTATATGAGTACTAATAAATAATTATTAATTTTTGTATTATCGTAATTATTACGATAACAGATATTAACATTATCTAACTAAAATCCCCATTAATTGATAGTTCAAAAAACAATGTCTTTTATCTGTAAATAACATTTTTATTTCTTTGATACAAAGGTCAATGACCAGAGACAAAAAGTTTACACGAAGAAGAAAAATGTAATCAAAATTTTAAATTAGAATTTATGAATTTTGCTTGCTTTCAATTTAATATTTTGAAGAACAAGAGTTTTTAAACACGTAGGAAATTTTTAATTAAAAGAAAAAAAGAAATTTAATTTAATAAAATTATTTTCAATTATTAATTCTTTTTATAATTAATAGTTAATGGTAAATTAAAATTTAATTACAGGCGCTTTCGGCTACTTTGAAGTGACTCACGACATCTCGAAATATTCCAAGGCAAAAGTATTTTCTCAAATTGGAAAAAAGACACGTATCGCTGTGAGATTCTCCACTGTTGGAGGTGAAAGTGGTTCAGCTGATACTGTCAGGTAAGTGAAAAAAAGAAAGAAATTAATTACATTTTATTGAGTAAATACGGGCCAAGAACCCGTATAGTTTCTAACTAAAAAAGTCTTTAAATATTACACTTTTTAAAAGTGTTTTGCCAATGAAAATTAATTTTTCTTCTATCATTCATTTTTAAAGGGATCCTCGAGGATTTGCTGTCAAATTTTACACAGATGAAGGAATTTGGGATTTGGTTGGGAATAATACGCCGATTTTCTTCATTAAAGATCCTCTATTTTTCCCGAGTTTCATTCACACTCAGAAGAGAAATCCAGCAACTCATTTAAAGGTTTCTTTTTTGATTCTTTTTTTCAAAATTAAATTAAATTTATTATTTATAATTTGTATTATTGTCATTTCTCTAGGACATGGATATGTTTTGGGATTTCATCTCCCTTCGTCCGGAGACAACACATCAAGTAATGTTCCTTTTTGCTGATCGTGGAATTCCCGATGGTTATCGACACATGAATGGTTATGGTTCTCACACGTTTAAATTAATGAACGCTAATAACGAAATGGTCTACTGTAAATTCCATTACAAGGTGATTACTAATTGTTAAAGTATTACACTCGCAAGTTGAGCGAACTTTGTGTCCTTTAATTATGACAATCTTTCTCAATTACTATTTATTGTTTTCTCTTTCCTTTCTTAACTATTATCTAATTAAATATATTATTCACAGACTAACCAAGGAATCAAGAATATTCTCGCTGAAAAGGCTGGCGAATTGAGTGCTTCTGATCCAGATTATTCTATTCGCGATCTTTACAATGCAATTTCCGAAGGCAAATTTCCAGCTTGGACACTTTACATTCAAGTAATGACCCAAAAGCAAGCCGACATCTTCAAATGGAATCCTTTCGATTTAACGAAGGTAATAAGTTTACCTGAAAAAAATGGTAAAACAACGTGAAAATTAATTTAGAATTCTTACAATTCGTTTTAGTTGACTAATTAATGTTTGGTATTTTTATAAATAATTGTATTTTGAAAAAGGTTAATTGAATTTTTTTAATTAATCTTAATTAAATGTTTTATCCATAGATTTGGCCGCACAAAGAATTTCCATTGATTCCAGTCGGTAAACTTGTTTTAAATGAGAATCCAGCGAATTATTTCCAAGACGTGGAGCAAATGGCATTTGATCCAGCGCACTTTGTTCCTGGAATTGGCGCCAGTCCTGACAAAATGCTTCAGGGTCGTCTCTTTGCCTATGGCGACACTCACAGACATCGCCTTGGACCAAATCACCTCCAATTACCTGTTAACTGCCCATACAAAGTAATTACTTTTCTAAATCTCGCTATTCAATTTCGTAATTTATCTATTTTAATTTTAGTATTTATAGTAGAATTTATAGATTAATTTGAACCCTTTTGATATTTAAATTTAATTATCAAGAAAAAGTATTAAAAAATAGATTTTTCTTTAGAATTTAATTTGTTGAAATCAGAGTATTTGAAATGGAAAATTGAATTTTCAGGCAATATCGGCAATGAACTATCAACGAGACGGTTTTATGCCTATTCACAATCAAGGATGCGCGCCAAATTACTTCCCGAATAGCTTCAACGGTCCTCAGGAATGTCCAGTGGCAAAAGATCCTCCGTTTACTGTTTCCGGAGTTGTGGATCGTCATGAGCCGGAAAATGAAGACGATTTCGGACAAGCAACCACATTCTGGAGAGACATTCTTGATTCTGACGCCAAGACACGATTGGTGAATAATATGGTTGGAAGTTTGAAGGGAGCATCAAACTTTATTATCGAACGTGCCGTGAGAAATTTCACTCAAGTCGATACTGACCTGGGTAAACGATTGACGGAGGGATTGAAAAAAGCTGGAAAACAAATTACTATGTCTGGCAAATCGGCTAATCTTTAAAATAAAAGAGAAAAAAATACAAATGTTATTTTTTTGTAATCAATTATAATATTTTGGCAATTACAAGCCATTGTTGTTTAATTGTTTTTTTTACTATTGTTATATTTACACTTTTATTGCGCACTTATTTTTGGAATGTATGCTGGTTTCGTTGTAATCGATATAAAATATTCGATAACATTTGGCGATATAAATATATTCTGTACTTTGTATATAAATTCTCCTTTTTTAAAATATAACATCAAAATTTCCCAATATCATTCGAAAATTTAAATATTCAATTTTAGAATATCATTAGTTAATTATATTGATTTACTTATTGGAACTTGTAATAGTTATTAAACCAAAACAGTTTGTACAAATAAAACATTTTATCACCCGAATGGAAATTTTTCAAATTAATCGTATACATGATTATTGTTTGCAAATAATGTTGATTACAATTTCCTTTTTAATATTAAAATAATTTAAAATGCTTTTCAAATAGAATTCATTTCACGATCTACGCTCTTACAGTTCATTTATTAATTACTATAAAAGATACTTTAATTATTTAATTGATTACCAGAATTGCTGTAAATTATTTTCAATATTTGCGATTGCAATTAATTAATAATCTGAATTATAATACACGTATTAAACTCACAAAATATTTATATTATTTATCATTTTTATCCATTTACAATAAAAAAGAGTCTGTGGTTTTTTTATAACCTACCTGTTGATTTATAAATTCCTTAATTAATTAGATTAATTGACAAGTTATAATCAAATAAATATTTATTAAATAGTAAAATAACTTCAAATTTAAGATCAGTTTAATTATTCAATAATAAAAGAAATATAAACAATAACAATTGAACAATAACTTTAATTATTACTGTACATCATTAGAAGCTTAGATTTTTCAATTTATTTTTAATAATATATTTACTTTAATATGTACTTATTATTCTTCTCTTGTTTTTATTGTAAACTGCTGGCTTTTACTGTTTATTATTATTATTTTAGTGTTTTTTTTTGTAAATAAATTATCGACAGTCGGTAAGTTACAGTAGTTTGAATAATGAACACAAGCGCGCTGCTAGTACACGGCGCCGAGGCGCTCGCTCATTGGCCGACAGCGCCAGCCAATCGCGTGCGCGCGGATCAGAACGTGCGTAGGTCTTGTGCGCGGAGCTCATTTGGCGGCCGGCAACCACCGGCGACGGTGGTGTTAGCTTGCTCTCCCGGGATGCTGTTCCCTATGGAACTCCCCGGTTGGAGAGGCCGCCAGGGGTCCTACCCCCTCTCCCCTGATGGTCGGGGTTGTTGGTGGTAGGAACTCCAGGGGGGAAGGGGGTGGAGGAGGAGGCAGGTTTACCTGTACTTCTCATTGCTGCCAACCTCCACGTACTGCAGTCCAGCCGTTTGAGACCATTCAACGACACGACTTTACGCTCTTTGGAACCAATTCGAACAAAGAGTGGGTGTTTTTCCTACCAATGTCAGTGAAGAAAGATTCTGGATGTGCTGTTCAGGTGGACGCAGAACATGGTAAGTTTTTATTTTATTTATATTTTTATTAGTGTCTAAAGCAAATTAATTATATTTCTAACATAATTTCTCGTACTTTATCGCATTTAACTTAGAATTTTATGTCAAATTACAAATATAGGAATTATATGTTTACAATTGCATTTATGTGAAGAAATATAGAAAAATAATTTCATGAACAATTTGCGACTAATATTTTTACATACTAGTTATTTAATTATTGTATTTTTTGTGCAGTTCCACAGATTTCAAAGGCAGGATAAAAGTTCCCCCTCCCGTGTTGTACTCTGGTGAGAGTTCGCTGGCAGACGTACGAAACCAGGATGCGCTGTCATTTGTTCGAGCATCAAACTCATTCTTGGTATTTTTATGTAAGTATAAATTATTTACTAATCTATTTTACTTCACAGAAACAAAAATGTGACTTTATGTTAGCGGACGACAGGGAGTAAAGTCATTCATTTGTTCGACCGTAAGAAAATGGCGGCCATTTTCGAACAAGTGAATAACTTGTACTTGCTGTCGTTTGCTATCTGAAATCGACACTTTTGTGCCTTTTTGCTTAATATACTAAATTATTTATGTTATTTAAGTAATTAACTTCATTATTTTCTTCTTTTTTTCAGGCTTTTGCTTTTCCTACCAATGTCAATCGAGGCATACATTCCATGTGGAAGAAAATCGTAATCAGATGAACTTCGAACTTGGTAATAACTTTATTTTATTAAAACGCAAATTAGTTTTTATTATTAGTTATTAGACGATTTTTTTTATTAAGTTTTTATTTATACTTGAAATTTGTTTATACGTAAACTATCAACATTCTCATACTCTCTTTTAAGAGGATCACAGAAAAAACGGTAATCTAATTTTAAGAAGCTCCTACTTAAATAGGAGCCAAGAATATTCTCTACTTAAATTAAGTGGCCCCACTTAAAAATAATAATTTAACTTAATTTACATTAACTTGAGTACACAGAAAAAACGTTAATCTAAATTTAAGAATATATTCTCACTTTAAGAATAGTATAATTCTTGAATAGGAGCCAAGAAGATATTCTTAAATTTAGATTAACGTTTTTTCGGTGTAGGCAGAGGGTTAAAATTAGATTATCGTTTTTTCTGTGATGTCAAAATCAATGCGATTTGCACACAGAGCTTCAATGAAAAAATCGCATCGACTTTGAGTTTGACATTCCCTTAAATTGAATCAGTGGAATTTTCACTGCGTAGGAATGTCGTATCAAGTAACTTACTTCTGGCTACCTAAATCAGTGAATTTTCACTTTTTATGGTAGCCAGAAGTGAGTCACTGATTGGTATGCAGTGAAAATATCACTCATTCAAATTGAGAAAGTACAAATATTGAAATTTGCAGGTAGGAGTGAGTGGCCCGGAGGTGCTCACTGCTACCCGACTGATATTAGCGCTTGCGGTCCGAGCGAAGAACCGGTTCTTTGATCCAGCTCCTCAATTATATCGAAAAATATTTATAAATAACTTGATGCATAGTTTACTGCTGTAATATTTTTATATAATATTTATTTAATAATCTATTGTGCTCTCATATGTGCAGTTCTACCGATTTGAAAGAACAGAGAGGAAGACTGTGTTATGAAAATTCCTCTCATTTTGTACTCTGCTGGAAGAGTTCCCTTGACGATGGTCCATCTGTTCTTCTGCATAACTTGAAGAAATCTTCATGAGTCGACCTAGAGAATAATTTGGAAGAACGCAGAAGAAAAAAGGCGTTTTCTGGACAATTCGAAAATATACCCGATGAGTTGTTCTAGAGGACGCACAGCCACCATCGCCTCGCATCGAGTAAGTCTTATTTTTATTTAACATTTTTTTGGTTCGTTCTGCATTTGATGTCATTTAGCCCTAACCTTTAATTTCTATTTTTTGATTTGTGTTGTTTGAAACTTGTCTTTTACTCATCGGATATGTCAATTACTTTTTATTCTTGCTACAAGTATATTTATTCCTTTATTTTCATTTTTATAGAGTCTTCTAGATTGTTAATATTTTTGTTCATATCGTTTGATTACAAATTTCATAAACAATTTAAAAGTAATTTCATCTATTGTTTGACAGTTTACAAAATATTCATCTAATTTACTTATACATTTATAATTAATAATTTTTGTATGTTACATTTTATCAAAATAACCTCAAATTTCAGACCAGTTTAAAATAGATGTACTGAATTGACATATTGTCAATAATAATAGTAATATGGGAGTAGTTTTAATTGTAACCGTATTCTTTTATTAATTTACTATATTTTGTAATATTTTATACTTATTGTTGGTAAATTGTTAAAAATTAATCTGTTTCTTTCTCTTAGATGTGGTTCGAACAGTCAACACAAGCGCGCTGTTTGCACACACCGCCTAAATGCTTGCTCATTGGTCGGCAGTGTCAGCCAATCGTGTGCGCGCATATCAGAATGTGCGTAGATCGCGTGCGCGGAGCTCAGTCTGCGGCTAGCAGTCACAGTGACAAGAGTTTGTTATTGGTAAGTTACTTCATAATTTCCTTCCTTTCTAGGAATAATAATCTATGTGTTGGATTGTTTATATATTTTATTTGTGAAAATTAAAAACTTTTTTTCCAACAGAACTCCAGAGATCGACTGTAAGGTTTTTCGTAATATAATACAAAAATCACATTCGCTGTATACAAAAAAAAAAAAACAAAATTATCTTTTGTTTTTCCTCAAAATGTCAATCAATAAGGAAGCGTGTTCGATATAGAAAGAAATGGTTATCAAATGGATTCAGTACATGGTAACTATATTTTATTTGTATAATTCATAATATAAAGAGTAAATCATATATTTTTTAAATGTCATTGTTGACATTTCTTTTTTTTGTACAATCTCCTATTCTGCTGTGCAAAATATAAATGATTTTCGATTAAAACACTGTAAAAGCAATTGTCTTATTTTGAGACACAGGTTATGTCAACGTCAAGTGTTTCAAAGAAAGACACTTCTTTTTGCAGAAAATATTCTTGTATACTAATTATTTAATAATTTATTTATTGTATTTAATTTGCAGTTCAAATTTGATTCCAAAGACAGAGTGAAAGACGGAGATAAAAATAGATCCCTCCTATCTCGTACCCTATTTGAAAGGGGTCTCCTGATATTGGTCGTGAAGAGTCTGCACTGTCATTTCGGTCCGAAGATGAAATTCGTAATTGGTGAGTAATTTTTTTATTTTCCTGTTTGTGAAGTTCAAAAGACTTTTAATGTTTTATTCGTATCAAATGATTACAAATTCAGTACTTAAATTTAAAGTGTTCTCGTTCATTTCTGTGATTTATTTTGTTATTGTTTTTATACTCTAACGAGGCAAAAGATTTAAGGTTATGTTTATGATCGTTTTTGTTTGACTATTAATTAATTATTAATTAATAATAATAATAATAATAATTAATTATTAATTCTTATACAATAAATTAAATGGAATGAAGATTTAAATAATAGTTTGTATTGAGAATTAATTCTCTTTATGTATTTTCACTTTATAATTTACAATCATAACCTCAAATTTCTCATCGCGTTAGTTAATTAAATATTAATTTGAATTTTTAAATATTTAATATTTATTGAAATATTTATAATAGTTTAACCAATTATAACCTTAAATTTCTAATCGCGTTAGTTAATTAAAATTTAAAATATATTAATTGGAATTTAAAATATTTAAAATTTATTAAAATATTTTTGATTTTTTTTTCAGGCAGCTTTTAAACATCCAAAACTGAAGTAGAAGAAGAAGGACAGGATCGTCTACTGAAGTAGAAGGATCATACTACCCTCCGTTTCTTGCATGATTCGAAAAAGATCTGCATGAGCTGATCCTGTGCAGGCTTTAAAGGACACTGACAGACGCAGAGAAATGCCTCCCCCAATTTTCTGCACGATTGAACGGAATCTTTTGAGCATTGATGTTTTCTTCATCGGTGAGTCATTTTTCATTTAACCCTTAACTTGTTTTTGAAACATTTCATTTTTGAAACAAGAAACCGATTTCTTGTTTCAAAAATGAATTATTATATATTGCGCGTAGAATTTAGGCATTATAGTTTAGTTGAAGTTTGTTTTTTTTGCGGTTTCTAGTTGTTTTTAAAATTCGTCGAAAGAATTCAATTCAAAATTTGTTGATAATTATGTTATGTTTGTTATCTAACAGTTTTTGTTGAATATTTTTAATGTAATAAAGGATTAAATATAATTAGTTTGAACTGAGTGTTAACCCAGTTTATACATATTCACTGAAAACATAACAAACATAACCCGTAATATTTTGATAGCTCTTAGGTCACATATTCTTATTCGCCACGTATCACATGTGTGAACTTATTTTGACAGTTGATATTCCAGTACTTTCGTATTATTCACTCATATTCCTTAATTAGTAAATTTCTTGATTAGTAATTTATGGAAATTCTTGAAAATTAAGAAAAGAGCATATTTATGGTAAATACTAATTAAAGTTTAACTCGAGGGTGGGTGATAAGCAGAGTTCGTTTGAAGTGGTCTTGATGATGCAATATTGCGAGCCGGTAGATTCTAATTATAAACTTCATGGCACTTTGATGGCTATATGACCCTTGACGAACATCGGAACCATTATTTGAAGCAAAAGTGATGTAATGTGCAAATAAATTTATTTGTACAAATAAATCACTTATGTTTCGTATATATTTGCTATAGTTGATGTCGATAGTACAATCCATCTGATTTTCAAACTAATTACAAATATACTATTCTACACTGGAAAAAAGATTTCTTTGATTCAAATAACCGATTACTTGACTATTATCAATTAAATATTTACTTGAATCAAATAATTTTTATCTGAGTCAATTAAATTTTATTTTGAACCAATAATTTCAGTATTTGAAGCAAATACAATTTACTTGATTTAACTAAAAATTATTTGATTCAAGTTATAACATTTATTTGATAAAAGGCAATAACTAGTCGTTTATTTGAATTAAATAAATTTTTTTTCAGTGCAGTATTTATTTGTTTCGGATAATGCAAATTTTGATTTTCTTGACAAATATTTTTAAAATGTTATAAAAAATTTTGAGTTGGGGTGAAATTTAATAAATGATCGTATTCATGGGAACTTTTTGTAATGTATAACGTATACTATATAATAATATATGTAGGGAGAATTTGATGAGGCATATGTGTGGAAAAACCAATATGCTTTGTACTTTGGACACTATTAAAGGGTCAAGAGTTTACCACTGATATTTTCGACTCGTAATTATTGGAAACGTCCTGTTAGTCGACGGATAAAATGATCCTCTACTGCACAGAACACTTCTCTAAAGAGTCCTTAGAGAACGTATAAATGCAGGGATATCGTAGGCACTTGGATTCTTTCGACGCATTCATTAAAATCTATTCTCATCCCCCTATATCTTCAACTCACTCTCTATATCTCTTTATTCATTTTTCATATGGCTTTTCACAATTTTCTTTTTTACCATCAACTTTTTATTGTTCCCTTGTTCATGCTTCTTTCTTAAGTTTTAAAACTAGTTTCGAGAATATGTAGACAAAACAAAATTCTCTTTTTTTCATATTCTTTTGCTAATACTCTTTTTTACACTTTCATTTTTTTCTGTCTTTTTTCCATTCTTGTTCTACGTTGATAATAAAATAGAGGAGATTTTATATTAATAAAGTCTCTGAGAAAAGTTGTTAAGAAAGAATTCATAGAGCGCGGATACTCTGGGTATAACGAGCTGTTATATATACTATATCTTTAGATCCTTATAATTAGAAATGTTTCTTAATTGAATGTCTCGAAAAAAAGAGAACTATGTTTCTGGCTTGAAAATTATCTTTTTAAAATTAGTGAAAGTTTGAAAATAGATGTCATGTTGGTATCGTATAATAAGGGACATAATATAGAAGTAAAATAAAACAAAGTTCAATTTAAGTAATAGTTTGATACCTATATTTGTCTGTAATATTTTAGAAAATATTTTGAAAACTTTTTTATATTTATTGGTTTTCATTTTAAAACTTTTTTTAAGAGATACATTTATTGAGAAAAATGGTTAATAAATTATAATTATTTTTATCACTTTTTTATGTGCCTAAAGTACTGAAAGTTCAAATATAAACAAAATTTATTTTTTTCTTCTTGAAATTAAAATTATAATTACAATAATTTTTCGTTACGTGTCAAACAAATTAATAATACAGTTTCTAAATGTATTAAGGTTCTTAATTATTTTTAATATAGTCAATAATTTACAAAAAAAATATTTTTATTTACAAATTTTATTATTATCAATATACGTATTATTCAGGGTTGCTAGAGATCAGGGAAATCGCAGGGAAATGTCAGAAATTTTTATATCAAAAGGATTAGAATAATATTAAATTTCTAGAATTTATCAAAAAAACATATGACTGTAATTAATTAAATATTTACTATCTCCCTAAAACTAAATCAGTGAAATTTGACTGATTTTCAGTGACTCTGTTCTTCTCGGGATTTGAATCAGTGAAATTTCACTGAAGATCAGTTAAAAATGATTCAAATTTCAGACATTTTTCACTGATTGGCCAATTAAAAAATAACTGAAGATTTCAATATGCGTGACAGAAATTTCCAGTAATTTTTTAATTGGTGAATTAATTAATTAATTGATTAATTTTTTAATTTTTTAAATAATATTTATTAGATAATATCAATTAAATGGTATTTGAACCAATAATTTCAGTATTTAAAGCAAATACCATTTAATTGACTCTAATAAATATTATTTGATTCAAATAAATATTTAATTGATATAATAGTCAATTAATCGGTCATTTGAATTAAGTAAAACTTTTTTTCAATGTAGCTTTCTTGTTAGCTAACAAAAATTTGTAACTTTGTTAGCAAACTTTTTTATAAACATTTGAAAATTTACTTAGAAATTCTTTAAATAATTTTAATTAAAAATTCTGAAAAAGTTAGTTTTTGAAAAATTTTTATTTAATTTTTTTGAAAAATTTATTGAATTCTTGATTCGCAATTATAATTCAAATTCAATTTAAATTCTCTTTATATTTAATTGAAAATTTTTTGAATAATCAAAAGGATGACGCTCAAAAAGTACATAAATTGGTTCCCGGTCAAATTAACATTTTTGTAGATCAATTTTTTTTTTTTAAATTTTAATTCCAATTCTTTTGAAAGTAGTTAAATTTTTTAATATATATTTAATTATTTATTATATAATTTAATTATTAATATTTATTACAATATAGTCAGGAGAAGTCAGGAAAACATAAAATCAAACTTTTGTGGCAACCCTTTTCTTATTACTATTATTATTATTATTATTAAAATTATTATTACTACTGTTGTTATTATTATTATTATTGTGATATTGAGATATTAAAGCAGTATGGCATTTCATGTGGGTGTAAATGCTTTTAGTGAATACCTGAATATGATATATTATGCATTCATGGATATTCAAGGGAGGATACTATAATACTATTTGTTAAATTTAAACAATGGATCTGAGTTAAATGTCCTTTATATGTTGTAAATATTTTCCATTTGAATTAAATGATCTTAATTATTTAATGAGACGTTAAATAGAATTACACCTTAAGAAAGATTAATTAAAACATTTTACTAATAATTTTACCATTAAAAAATGTGTTGTTTATAATTAAATTATAAATTAAATTATAAATTATAAATAAATTGTTTATAATCAAAAATTGAATATATAAAGAAGTTAGATATTGTATATTAAAAGAGAAAAAATAAATTGTAAATGATAATTTATGGGTTTTTTTAAAACTTTAAAAAATGTTTAAAATTAAGTTTCAATTTGACAATAATTATAAAGAGTTAGTTCTAATTTTCATTGAGAAGAAGTTTTACGACTGTATTATATAGAACTGTTTTTTGAAAAGAAAGGAAAATTTGATATGTTGGTAAAGTAAATATTTTTTAAAGTGAAAATTGTGGGTAAATTTTTGAACGAGTATATAGGTAAGGGTGTAACTTGCTAGAGGACTAATACTGGAGAGTTAGTAGACAGGCTTTACTGTAGGTCACGGCGTAATCCGATTTCGTGAGCATTAATTCGCGTACGAGCTGAACCGAAAGCTGCACCTCGGTACTCGTCTCTCATCGAACAACGTTGTGCATGCATTGTCAGTGATTTTCAGTGAAATAGACAATGAACCAGCACGCTCTAAATTCTCTTTAGTCAAATTTTATTTTTTTAACCAATTATAACATATTTAGTTTTCACTCCCATATAAATTTGTTTTCTTTTCACATGTATATAAAAAAAAATACCAGACAATTTTATGTATAAATTTTTTATTCAGTTGAAAAAAAATTAGTTATTAAAAGTTTTGATTATTATGAATCCCTCAGGCGCATGTTTGATGATTAAAAAGGGAAATCTCGGAAATATAAAATGATAACGACCTTACAAAGGTACATGAAATATACTGTGCTATAACTTGTTTGCTTATTACACGGTACTAGTGAATGTCTACTTACTAATTAGTCACATTCAAAGTATACCACGAGAAGGAGTCAGAAGCGAGTGGTATAGTCAAGAACCTGAAATTTGTTTTCCTGCCACAAAAGAGAAGCGAAGGATTAGTCTAATTTTTTTTCTTTTTTTCTTTTTTTTTTTTTTTGAGAGGAGAGGTTTTCCTAGATAAATTACTGAGAAACTTCTCAACAAATTTTATATGTTAAAATTTGTTATCCAAATATATTTACGTTTTATTAATAAAATAGTATTTTTATAAAATACGTGTAAAAAGCGGCTTTGAACGAACCGCTTTTACTAGTGTAGTAAAATTGGGAAAAATTAAACGAATGATTTGTTTATTAAATAAAAATGATTTATAGCCAGTGGGATATTGGCCGTTTATATTGCTATCCTTGCTGAAAATAATTTTTCGTGAATAAAATGTTTTCGCCTCGGGAGAGTTCTTTACAAAATATTTATGACAGTTTCTAAATTGGATAGGAATATTTTAGTGATATATTTATCACTATATATTTTTCTGATATACATTTTATCAGAAAAATATAGTGAAAAATAAGAAAAATCCCTCTTTATTAAAAACTTTTCTTTATAAGTGTACATTAATATTATTGTTCGTTTTTCTTCCTTCGCTGTGCTTTTCTTATTATTTATTATCTTCTTCTCCGTTTGTTGCTATAATAGTTTGTTCCTTTTTTTTCCGTTGTCATTTACGATTATGATATTTACTATTATTCTGTATAATTCCCTTTTTCTATATAACTTTATCCATAAATTCATTTTTTTCCTTTTAATAGTGACGTGTTTTCAATATTAATATCATTTACATTTTTGCAATCTCTACTGTAATAAAAATCGGAATTTTTATGAAAATTTATTTTTTCTCCTTTTTTTCTAGTAATATATTTTGTTATAAAAAATTTAAAAAAGATATTAAAAATAAAGTTGGAAGCAAATATTTCCTGTAAAGGGAATTTTATCGTTTATCAATTTTTCATACACGTTTAAAGCTCCATTTTAGTAATAATTCCAGGATCAACTGTTTAATCCTCTTGAAATAGTTATCTGCTGACAGACGGAAAGCGGATCGTGGTGGATTTTAATTAGAGCACCAACGTCCTTGATTTTATCACTGCCCCAACTTTTCACAAATACCAGTTTTCAGTTTCTCTCCACTCCCCTTTATATCACACAATGGCGAAAATTCCGAATAAGAATTTCTTTTAGTCGCTGTATTTGTAGGTTATTTAGTAAATAATTATGGAAAATTGTATTTTTTCATTATTTGTTTAATTTAGGAAAATTTAATTAATTTAAATCTGATTAGTGGGAAAAATTAATACTTTTATTACACACTGTGCTCGAAAATCTAATTTTATTGTCGTGTGAGAAGTGGGTTGAAAATTGAAGTTTAAAGATTGTTGTCAGAGGTAAAAAAAGTTGTAGACAGGGAAAAAAAGCCTCGTGCAGCCGCTACGTGCCTGCGCGATTCTTTTTTTCTCTCTGACGTCACCTGACTGTAAAACTTTTTAGTTCTTATCACTTCATCCATTATAAATAAGGTTTCGAGTAAAAACAGGCTTCGGACTCGTTCGACTTTTGGTGTTTTTTGACACTTTTCTCATCGTATACCACTATTTAGTTACTATTTTTTCGTTTATATTAATTGTCAAACTTTAAATTTGGTTAAAAAATAATTATAGAATACGAATATTGAAGAACATCTTGAGATTTAGAATGGAGATGCTATTCTCCACCTGAGAACGCCAAGGTCACCGCCAGATGGCAGTTTAGTTCTTTCTTGGAATTTCTCCTGCCACCTGGTGGCGACCTTGGCGTTCTCAAGTGGAGAAATTAAACCATTTCATTCCTCAAAATCTTTTTTATAATTTAAAAAATTATTGTGAGAGCAATAATTATAACTTTGTTTTTACTTTTCAGTCGATGTCAAATCACTGATCAATCAGTGAATCGATGAACCAACCAACGACCTAATCAAGGAACCAATTAAGGTACCAATTAGGGTACCAATCAAGGAACCAAGTAAGGAATCAATCAAGGAATCAATCACGGAACCGATCAAGGAACCAATCGATGAACCGACCAATCAACGAACTATCCAACGAATGAATCGATTAGGTAACTAAACAATCAACCAACCAACTAAAAAGATTCGGACCCAGTTGGCACAATAGCTCTAAGTCTGAATATGTGAAATTTCACATATTCCAGGGTGGCCACGAAACCTTGAAAAACTTCAATTCGACGTGAATTTTGTCATATCTGGAAAAAACCTATTGAATTAAACGTAAATTTTTTTTTAAACCTTAAATTTTTATAGCTACTGAATGATTTTTGTGGATAAAGCTTTACAAATGAGTTGAGTCTTTTAGTAAATTAAGGTTTTTTTTTCTGAATTCATATTTTCGTACAAAAATACTAATTTTAAAAATCTTGAAAATTTTTTTGAAAACCGGGAAAGAACTTTGAATTAAATTATTAAATTAAATTAAATTAAACTTTGAATTAGCCTTGAATTTTGTCCGCGAATTTTAGTGGCCACCCTGTATTTGGATTTGGTGGATGGACCAGAAGTGGTGATGTAGTGGAAGGATCCCATCGCCTCAACGTGGGATGCATCAACTAAATATTGAGTCAAAAAATAAAATTTCTTTAAAATCCCTTCTCTGTTTCATGTTTAACTTGCTTTAATTTTCTAATTTCTAATCAATCTTTAATGATCCAATTAATTATAATTAATTTGTTTTAATTTTCAACTTTGAATGACCTAATTAATTGCAATTCAATTACGAGTTTAATAACTAATTAAGTGACTTAAATGGTACAAATTTTGAAACAGGGAAGGACACCTATACAACATAGTGACACCATTGGCAAAATGTATTATTTTGCAGTAAATTGAAATACTGCAAAATTTAATATTTTTGCCAATGTCTTTTATTGTTATATTGTATTTACATTGTATTTCTCTAAAAAATTTCATGCATGTTTTCTCATTCTTTCTGATTGGAAGTAATTGTTTTTACGATTTTTATTTTCAAGTAGATTTTCAAAATTTAAATTTTAGTTAAAATGCCTTCAGAGAGATAATTTAATTTTGTGTTTATAATTCATTAAAAGTAATGCATGAGTTGTCTAAAAGTTAGATTTTCTATTTTTTTAAAATAAAAGTTGGTGCATTGGTATTAAAAGTTAAATGTTCTATTCTTTGAAGTTAAAAGTTGATGCAAATATTTGAAAGTTGAGGTTTTCTGTTCTTTAAGGTTCAAAAGTTGGTGCATGTAAGATTAGAAATTTAACCTGTATGTAATTTTCTTTCAGCAAATTGATAAGGTCAAAGTGACCCCCGCCCAGGTGTGACAATAAGCCGTTCCGGAAGACGGTACCGCGTGCGACCTTTACACCTGGGCGGCAGTTTAGAGAACCACGAAGTGTTCAAGTGTGTGTGTTTGGTACCAAAACGTAGTTTTGTGATTATTTAGCTAAATGCGTAGGCAGGAACAGCTTTTTGAGTATGTTTGCTGTCAAAAAGTAGGATTGTGATTATTTAGACGACGTGGGTAGGCAGGATTAGCGTTTTTTGTGTGTGAATCTGACGTTTTAGATGTGGGCAGGTAGGAAATCGCGTTTTTTTTGTATGCATCTGTATCAATAACTGGCGATCCACTGCATACAACAGTGCCCACTCAACCATGACTACAAACAGTAGTTACTCGTGGCACTGTATGCGACGGGGGCCCACGAAAAGTTGACTTATTGTTAGGCAGTTAGGCGGATAAGAGTCAACTTTGATAAAGGGCTCCCAACTTCATCAGGGCCTCACAAACTGTGATGTCGTCCCTGCCATTTATTTTTATCTTGTATTTATTGCATTTTTGTCACTATGTTGTCTTCTTTATTCTGCTCTAATAACAGTTCTTTACTTTTTTATAGAAAAATTATTGTATTCAAAAATAATTTTTCAAAAAAGGTAAAAGAATCTGAATGTTTTTATGCTATATGTGTTTTGTTTGTTTTTTCTGTTTTTTAAGCAGATTCATCATTTGATTTTAACAACTCAAATTGCGAAATACAACGTAGGAGACGCGAATGATTTGCTTGTTTTAGATAAAGGTAATTGAGAATATTGAAATTCAGTAGGAAATTAAAAATAAAAATATAGTTTCTAAATCTGAATTAGTTTTCTAATTAAATCGTGCGGAGTCGTTTAAAAATAACTAGTAAAGATTTTACTAATTTCAGAGCTCGAACTAGGTCCGTAAATCCCGTAAAAGTCCGTAATTTGATTGAAAAAGGACGAAAAATTCGTTAATTGTACGATATAATTTGGAGAATTTTAGAGAAATTACAAATGATTGAGCCCTGTAATTTCCTCTCAATTTGAGATTACTTTTTTCTAGGTGAAGAGTATAAAGTTTCATTTTTCAATTAACAGATATTTTTCTATCAGATTAGTTTATAATTTACCACTATAAAGTTAAAAGTTTGTTATACTAAAAATGTATAAAATCTTTAATATCTTATTGGTAAACGAATCCGCACTCTCTAATTAGAATAAAATGACAAATTTAGATTTAGAGAGTATATGAAAAATAAATATTAAATTATAAAATATGAAAAACCGCTGCCAAGTTGTATAATTTTTTTTTATAATTTTGGTGCTCATTTCATGAACACTTTACTTCCTCATGGAGATAAAAATAATAGAAATATATGAATAACTTTTTATAAATATGGTAAAAGTGATTGAATTTTGGGTCAATCAATTTATTTTTAAATACCCTACAAGATAATTACAATAATTTAATAGTTAAACAAAAATTTTTAAACAAAAAAGTTGAGAAAATGTCATTTTCCACAATTTTTGGTTTTTAAAATACCAATAATTTCGAAATTTATTATCGAATTAGGTTCAAAAATAGGTCAATCGAAGCGTTTTTTGAAGCTCTACAAGTCGGTAACGATAATTTTAAGATTACTTCTACATTTTTCAACAAAATTTTCAAAAAAGTCTTATTTTCCAAAATTTTGAATTTTTAAAAGTTTAATATCTCCGGTTAATATGGACGAAAAATGTTCAATTAGGGCTCAAAAGATGCGTCTAAAAAAACTCTACAAAATTATGGAAAAACATTTATAGGTGTCCTAACATTTTTTTAAAGTTATGGGCAAAAAACGTTTTTTTGCAAAATTAAAAATCAAAAAAAAATTTAGTTAAACTTTATTAATCTATCTCAAAGTACTCTCATTTTATGTCCGCAGGTGAGATCTATAATTTAAAAAAAAATTCAACCCAAAAGCTCTTCATGATTTCGAGATATTAATGAAAATGTGATGTTTACACACACACACACACACACACACACATACGGAATGACATTTTTTAAAAATGTCATTTTTGAACTCCTGAGGTCAAATAACATAAAGATATGTCAAAAAATCGAACTCGAAAAATTTCGGTATTACAATACTTCCTCTATGAGGAAGTAATAACATTAATTACTCAAGTTGACATTTAATTTTCATAAAATTAAGACCCTTATTAACTCTCATTGCTTAAGATGCAAAAAAGAATTAAACTCCTCAAACTCATTATAAATATTGTGTCATAATTTGAGTGGGGATTTCTTAAGATTATCTTCTGCGAACTTGTGTTTTTACCGAGTCTTCTTCAACTAACGTCGCTCCTGATTGCCAGAGTATGAAGCAAACTAATCAAAGTCCTTGTTCAAACTTGCTTGACCAAACAAAAAGTTTCATTAACTTACGAAAATTAGTTAAGTTCGGAAAAGCTTTTACCAAACGCGTATATCGATTTACGAGTTTTCCCCCTAGAGCGGAGTAAATGTGTATTAAATTATTAAAAATATGTGTACACATATCTTATCGGAAATTGTTTAATCAAACTTTGTTGAATTCTTTCTTTTCTTCAAATTGTTTCGAATTTAAAACATCTGCTTTTGGAGAATATTGGAAAATTGTTCGTTTTTAGTGAATTTAGCATACAGAGAATATTCTAAAAATGTTGAATTAGGAATTCCTTTTTGTCTTAAAATAAGACTTGTATTTGTTTGTGAAAAAGATAGTTTTCAGTTTAGGTTTTTTTAAAAGAAACTTTTTATCAATTTTTATTTGAGATAGAATAAACTCTTTATTTCGCTGTATACTTTTCTCTTTATTAAAGCACAAATTTTTTATTGAATTTAATTTTGATAAAAGTAAATACGATGTATGAATAAATGTTTAGACTTGTGTGAGATCGTTGAGAGAATTTTAATACATTCCTTTTAAAGAAGAATCTCGAATATTTCTCATGATGTTTTTATTGCTTTCTATATACTTATAGACGCGGATCTGAAATTGGATTAGAGTCTCTCTATGAGTTACGCGATTTCGTCTTACGATCAAATCGTCAAAGTCGAATACACTTAAAAGATTTCTTGGAATCTTTTAAGTGCGCCTTCGACCAGTTTTTGAGCTCAAAGACTGGTAATCGTGGCTATAAACCGCACGCGAGAACGCTGTGTTGAGAAGAGGGGCTACTTCGTGAACGGCTTTCTTAACCGGAAGCTTCACAGACCTGCGATGATTTCATCTTCGTCTATAAGGTTTTTTATTTTATCACTGATCCCCTCGTAATGCTCACGCTGACGAGAGCCGTTCTGGCGAGTTCGATTAATTGGAAGGACACGATCGTTATTCTTTATGACATCGATTTTTAAGAGGGAAATAAAATAAGTGATTAAGAATATATGAGAAATTATATCAACGTTTTGAATTGTTTCAATCTTAACTGTTGGATTTATTTCAATAAACGAATAAGTAAATAAAAGCTCACAGTTTCTCTAAGGATATCAAATTGAGACAAAAAATGTATCAAAATTGATGCGGTAGAACAATTTTGATACGTTTTTTTTTCTTAATTTGATATACTTAGAACAATTGTGAGCGATAAAGAACTAAAGTTAAAAATATCTTGAAATTAATTGCTACGAAAAAAATATGGTTTTTGATTTTTAACAATGGCTAAAAATCTTGAAATTTTTTTTTATCTTAATGACTTTAAAATTACTATGATTTTTTTAAATTAAACTTTGATTTTTATATTATTTCTGATA